ATCTGGAGTGTTTGAAGAGCTGGTGATGCAGGTGGCTAAAAGGTAGGTCTGGATGCTGCCTCTGGACAGATGGCATACATGTGTTAATTTATGGGTCCCCTTCGACGCACATGGATGAACATACTTAATGAAAGGGGTGGAGAAATGTTAGCATGCTGCATAATATTATTTACACTAGGAGTCTCTCAGCTTCATACCGAGAGCAACTGAGATAGTAGAACTGAGGTTCCCTCTGCAATTTTTATTGGGGAGGGGGAGTTAACCTAGATCTTTACCCTCCCAGGTTCTACCAAAGCTTCCAATGGCAGCCATTTCAAGCTCCAAAGTGAAGCCTGAAGCACCTGTTTGGTCTCAGACATGAACAGATCTCCTGCATAGTGTAGAGTCAACTTGTGACATTTTGGAGGTGCACTGGCAGACGAATGGGGGCGGTCCGACCAGGTGCCATCCCAGGGGGTGCCATCCCGGCCGCCCCCCAGGACACTCACCACTTGCCGCACACGCCCGGGGACGCACGACACTTTCCACGAACCCCCATGCGTGCCACGCCCCCTAGGACGCGTGTGCATCTAATAAATTCCATTTTAGTTCCTTTCTAGCAGGAGTGCGAAACTTTCAGCCCAACTTACCCTGCCAGGCCATTTCCCCAAAACCATGGTCACATGTTACACCACATGTGTGGGGAAAAGAAAGCATGGCTGCTAAAGACATGGCTGATAAACAAGGAGTCCAACCCTGCTTTGAGTGTGCCAGCTAGTTTGCATTTGGCCACAAATGTATCCCTGCCTTTCCAGAATGAGTTCTGCCCAGGCCGCTAAGCAGGGTTGGAAACTTTTCATAGCCTGCAGGTTGGGACCAAAGGTAGACTAGGACCTACTGGCAGATCTCTGGACATTTTGCAGTGGCAACAAAAATATCATTTCCCTTGCATACCAAATCAGACTGTTGAAGCATGGACTAACTAGGAGTCTAGGAGTTCAACAAACTACTGGTGCTGAAAATAAATTCTGAGTCTCAGAATGTGCTCACAGACCACCTAATTCTTTTACTTTTTGCTTTGGTTGGTAGATCTTGTGGTTCTGTCACAAGATCATGCTGGTCAGTAATCACACAGTTCAAAGATGGAGTTGATTCCTTATTAGCAAAAACACAATCTCCACAGACTTGATTGAGTGTCAGGCCTAATGAGAAGAGCAGCACATTTCCTGGCTGGATCTATACTCACTCTTTAAACATTCTTAGAACGATATTTCTGATATTCTAAACATAAAGGAATTATTTTCTCCGTTTCCTTTTCTACATGGTCTACCCACTTATTTGACGGGGAGAATTCTACAGCGCCCTCTGGTGTCACATTTTAATAACTTATTATTGAAGTTTTAAAAGAACATCATATGGCTATAAGATTAGCATAACCCCTTTGAAACTCATTTTAAGCATTAAAAACCATGAGTGTAGATGTGTCACCAGTGGACTTCCTCCATGAAAGTGGAGACTGAAAGTCCCTGCCTCCTCTGCCTTTTTCATGCCTCTTCTGGTTCTGGGAGACAAGGGGGAGGGCAGCTTATCGCAGCAGGAGAGGGAGATACCATGACTCTTCACCAGACTGACTCATCTCTACCTCACGGCCTCCCTCATCTCACCCTCTTGCTTCAACTTATGCCTCCGATTCTGGACTTCTCTCTGCCACAGACTCTCCCAGCTCACCAAGTGATCCATGCGATGGTCATCTCCAGGCTTGACTACTGTAATTCGCTCTATGCGGGGCTGCCCTTGAAGCTCTCCCAGAAACTCCAGCGGGTGCAGAATGCTGCAGCGAGGCTCCTCACGGGGTCTCTGCCATGGGAGCATATTCATCCAGTGCTTTTCAAGCTACACTGGCTCCCAGTGGAGTACAGGGTCAGATTTAAGGTGCTGCTTTTGACCTTTAAAGCCCTTCACGGCCTAGGACCCTCGTACTTACGGGACCGCCTCTCCCGGTATGCCCCATGGAGAGCCTCAAGATCCATAAATAGCAACACCCTAGTGGTCCTGGGCCCTAAGGAAGTTAGATTAGCTTCAACCAGAGCCAGGGCCTTTTCAATTCTGGCTCCGGTCTGGTGGAATGCTCTGCCTCATGAGACCAGGGCCCTGCAGGATCTGATTTCTTTCCGCAGGGCCTGTAAGACAGAGCTGTATCGCTTGGCCTTTGGCTTGGAGCCAATTTGATTCCCTCCCTCTCTTTCTTTTTTCTTTTCCTTCTCCTGCGAGGAGGCTACACTTTAATATTTTAATGTTTCAATATTTTAATGTTGTATTTTAATTTTGTTTTTAAGTTGTAATCATTCAACTTGTTTTTATTATTGCTTGTAAGCCGCTCTGAGCCCGGCTTTGGCTGGGGAGGGCGGGGTATAAATAATAATAATATTAATAATAATATTATTATTATTAAGTCCTGTGACTCTTCAGCTTCTGAAACCTTTTCCTCCCAGTCTTCTCGCTCTCACCACTCACCGTTGTCCAACCACCACACCCTGACCTTTGAACCTACTTCTCTCAGTTGTCACCCTCTGCATCCAAACAGTCCATGACAGGTTCTAGTAAAAAAGAAAAAGTAGATCTGGCAAGCCTGAAGTTTGCCATGCAGCATCAAACATGCTAACACTTCTGTTTGCCCTGTCACTTTCCCCAAGGAAAACCCATGGTTTGCCACTGAATTAGAACAAACGGCAATTGGATTTTCCCTGGATTGCCATTTGATCCAATTTAGCACCAAAGAATGGGTTTTCCAGGGTAAAGCAGCAGGGCAATGCCCAAACTGCTTGGACCCCTGCCTAAACAACATGGGACAATCCACTTGGACCCATGCTTTCTACACACAGAACAAGCAGAAGTGTGGATGAACCCTATGTTTTGTGCTTTTCCTCAGACCACATTCACACCATACATTTAAAGCACCATGATACCACAATAAACAATCATGGGTTCCCTCAAAGAATTATGGGAGCTGTAGTTTGTTAAGGGTGTTGGAGACCCCTATTCCCTTCAAAGAGCTACAATTCCAAGAGTTCCTTGGAAAGAGGGATTGAACATTAAAGCACCCTTAGACTTGTAGGTCTGGGGGCGGGGAGTGGGATAGAACACTCCTAACATCCTCTCAGCACCCTTAACTGATGGGAGTTGGAGGGCACTGGCTTGGGGAAGGCTGTTGCAAGCTTCCCCCAGCAAGCCATTATGCTTGATTACATATTAATTATTCCAGTGTGTCGGGAAAATTGTGGTTTCAGCTGTGGTGGCCCTGGAGCTAGCATTTTTGAGTGGGCTCAGCTTTGTAACAACACATCATCATAATCTCATTCTGCAAGGTAACTAAAGCAGTCTGAAGGATGAGGATCAGTGGTTGCTCTCTGCCGCCATCTGGAGGCAAAAAAGAAACATAAAAATATACTGTTTCCTTACTTTACAGATACACATAGGGGGTTCATGACCATCAAACTGACCATGAAACCTCTGATTATTCTGTTCAAGGCAAATTATGCAATGTGGAACAGCAGATTATTGTTTTTCTAAGTGCCTATTTTGCAGGGGGAAAATCTTGTACTTTGTTCCCCCATGCCCATAAATCTACAGCTTGGAGTATGCAGACTTATAATGTTCTATGCTCTGAAATTAACAATTAACTTCTGAAGAACCAACTCTCTTTTTCTGTGTTTCAGCAAAGGCACCATATGAGGTGCCAGACAAAAGTGCAGAAACAAAAAACACTGCAGACTTGCAGATATTGCTCTATCGTGAAACTGACAGAGGAGAATGTATTTTGGAATGTGCTGGGTGGGGGTGGGCAGAAAACTTCACTTTTGCGAGCTGCAACTTTTCAGGCCTGCCTGGCACACACAGACCTTGTTCTGCAAAAGGCGGTGGTGTTTTTTGTACTGCAAGCTGGCCATTCTGTTGAAGCAATGGCTTTCATTTACTGATACAGAGGCTGTTGGGTAGGAAATGGAGCATTACTTGATGAGTGGTGGAGAATGTAAGACATAAAAAAGAAAATGGATGGACAGAAATCTCCTGAAGCCATCTGGACTTCTCTGATGGTTTGAAATAAGGTGCTGGTCTGTTCTAAAAAGGCACCAGGCAGCAAATTCAGCAGCCCCATGAAGACTCACTCTTCCGTTCTCAGTCAAACGTCAGTTTGAGTTTTAAACAGATTGCCCTTTGCTCAGATTGGGTACTAAAGAACAGGCTTGGGGGGGGGGGGGCTCCAGGGCAAAAAAAAAAAGGAGGGCAGACCTAGAGCTTTAAAGTTTGGGCCATGCCTGGGAAGAGGGGAAAAAAGTAAGTGTGGATAAGCCCAAAGACTATGCTTGTTTCCTGCACTCTTGTTGTCCTAGAATCCGCGCCAATTTTTGGCCTCGCACAGGGCGCTGTATTACAGAAGATTACCAAAACCCGCCCCTGCTCTTATAAGCATGTCTGCTTGGAGTTACAAGTGGATGGAAGGGGAGGGGGCTGCTGTGCTGGAGTCGTGTTTGCAGGTTTCCCATAATGGGCATCTGGTTGGCCACTGTGAGAACAGGATGCCGAACCAGATGGACCATTAGGCTGATCCAGCAGGCTCTCCTTATGTTCTTGTGAGGTCTGCCCTAGGTCTTTTGCAGATGAGGACAGTACGTAGAACCACCATTCCCGGACAAAACGATGAAGACAAAATTTCGTGGATGCACAATAACGAGGACAGAGGGAGACACCTCCTACTACCATACCCTACAGGTAGTGGAAACCAATTCGGAAGTTAATCCCAATGAACTAAGAAATGGGATCTACGCCTAACTAAGTGTGCACAGGATCGTATCGCGGTGCCACAATCCTCCTTGGCTCACTTCTCCTGTTCCTCCTTGGGAAACGTGGTTCTATTTCTTTCGTACACACAACTATTACCTTCCGGGGAGGTAGAACAAAAACTACAACTCCCAGGCTCCCACGCGGAAAGAAAGCGCGTCGCTCGCGTATGGCAAAAAATATCGCGATACCGAGGAACATGGAGGGGGGAAAAGAGATTTGCGCCTGCGCAGTAAGTAGAAGCAGTCACAAACGTAGAGAAGGGGCGGGGCTCACCCTCCTCAGTCCCAGCCCCGCCGCCATCTTGTTTCACCGCCACTTTGCGCTCGCTCCGTCCGTCACATCCCCGCCCCCCCTTCCTCGTTGCGTCCGGGAGCGCGCGGGCTGCGGTTGACGCACTAGCACTCGCACCCGCCACCGGAGCGCAGCGGAAACCACGGACTCTTGATTAGCTTGGTGAGTCTGGGATGGATCTTTTTTGTTTGTTGGTTGGTGGGGGGGTAGATCTCGTAGAGAGGAGTAGCAGCAGTTGGACTCTGTTTTTCCCCTCCCCCTCTCTCGGCGCCGCCATTCCCTCCCTTCCCGCTTCTGATTGGTTGGACGGGCCCTCCGGTGTTGTCTCTGATTGGCCGGCAGTGGGGTAAGGCGGCCGCCCGGAACTCCAGCTCGGCGATTGGGTGAGTGCCGCCGGCGGACCGTGGAGAGAGCAGGATTCAACGGAAATCGCATGTTTTCCCCGCCCCCCGCCCCTTTCTGATGCCCTTAAGCGCCCAACGGTATTAGGGCGGGGCTGAGAGCGAGCGCGTGCGTCTGAAAGGGAATGCATGGAAGTTTATGGAAGTAGTCAGGATAGAGGGTGGGAGAGAGCGGGAGAAGTTGTCGGAGTAGGGCTGAGGGCAAGGCGATCAGGGAAGTGATCAGGGGAGTTCAAGCTTTGGGGTCTCAGTAGACCTTGAGGCATCAACATCCTGTGCACACTTAAGGTGGTTGGACAGAAGGAGCCAAGTGGGACTTCAGAGTAAGCATGTTATAGGGATGCAGGACCTAGAAACCTGAGAAAGAGGCAGTGGGCACAGTAGTTAGAGTAGCTCACATCTGTTAGCCATGAAGCTCAGTGTGTGACCTTGAGCTATGTGTTCTCCTTTCAGCCTTACCTACCTCTTAGATCCAGGGTGGTATAGTGGGTAGATTATTAGACTAGAACCCAAATTCCTATGCAGCCATGAAGCTCACTAGGTAATTTTGGGTCCCTCACTGTCTCTCAGTCTCACCTGCCTCACAGTGCTGTTGCGGGGATAAAATAGAGTGGGGGAGATCAATGTATGCTAATGTGAGCTAGGTGGAGGAAGGATGAGATATAAATGTAATAAAGAATAAACGTCGTGAGGATGGGGAGAGGGGAAGTAAAGGGCAATGTATATTGCCCTGAGCTCATTGGAGGGCTATTGTGATATTTTAATAAAGAACGAAGCTGCCTCAGTCATTGCATTCGTCCTTTTCCATTCATCCAAGCCTTGACTTTGTTTTTGACCTGATTTTATTTAAAGCATCTTTGTACCTTGCTATTCAGCTGAAAAGATTCCTAGATAGGCTTACAGGCCAATAAGAAGCAATACAGGTTTATAATCTATAAAACATTAATGATGCACATGGAAAAGGGGTTGAGGAGGAAAGGAAGAAAATAAGCAAACTCTGCATAGAAGCTTTTATTATATTTTAAGACCCAAGGATGTTATGTTCAACTGCTTTTGTTTTTTCCCTCCCTTTTTCTGCTCTGATAGATTTTGTGACACTTCATTTTTTCATTTGTGTATTGCTTGTTTAACTTTGATAAAACATTTATTGTACAAGCATATCTCATTTTATTGCACTTCACTTTATTGGACTTCACAGATACTGTTTCTTACGAGGATGCAGTTGCAGGCAGCTTTGCTGCTTCCAGGGGAATGAAGCCCTGTGGTGTGTAATAATGATTATTATGCCACCCCCCTTTGGGCAACTGGAGTGAAGCTGGCTGGGGCAAGGTTTTTCCCCTCCTGCCCCTGCAGCCGGGGGGGGGGGGGGCTAGCTTAATAGACTACAGTATAGTGTAAATATTACTTTTATACGCACTGGGGAACAGAACCAAAAAGGGTGTGAATCACTCTATTGCAATATTTGCTTTACTGTGGTGGTCTGGAACTGAACCCGTAATATCTCCAAGGTACCCCTGTATGCTTCCCAAGCTTCAGCCAAACAATTTTCATTGCTTCCTCATAACTTGATTTTATCCTCTTGTTGTAAGTGGCTTTGAATACCCTGTCTGATAGAAAGGCATAGAAATGGGAGCATATTTGCATGGGAGCAAGTAAAGGTATCTTAATAGGAACATATTTTACGACAGAATTTTCCTAGCAAACCAGAGGTTAAACTAACCCCAGGAGGAGCTTGCAGCCGGCAGTGTCACAACACAGTTTGGAAAGCTCTAATGTAATGCATTGGAGGAGAGAGATGGAGGGGCAGTTGCCTTGCAAGACTGCCTTGCAACATCCCACATTTTAGCCTTTAAGCTTTTAATCCTGTGTAAATATGAATATAGTCAGCTACTTTTAAATGTTGTTTTTGAGTAAATGTCGTTTTGGAGGTTACTACTACAGTGGACGCTCGGGTTGCGAACATGATCCATGCGGGAGGCACGTTCGCAACCTGCAGCGTTCGCAACCCGCAGCACCACGTCTGCGCACATGCGGGTTGCGATTCAGCGCTTCTGCGCAAAACACGATTGCCAAAACCTGGAAGTAACCTGTTCTGGTACTTCCGGGTTTCGGCGTGTCCATAACCCGGAAAAAAGCAACCTGAAGCGTCTGTAACCCGAGGTATGACTGTACTTAGAGATATTAGCAAATAGATGAAGCATTTGGCATGTTTTAGCTGCTCTTGCGGCAAGTAACATAACACTAGGAATTGAAATACAGCTGGTTGTGGACGGGATCCGATCTGGAGCTCTGGTTGGATCCTGAGGTTTCCTCAACCGGAGGGACTGCTTCTGTGCATGCATGCAGCACGGTAGAGTGTTTCTTCGCATGCGTGCGCGGCGAAACACTTCTGGGTTTGCTGCTTTCGCAACCCGAAGTTTACATTACCCAAGGGTAACATAAGCCGAGATGCTACTGTACTATGTATAATTATTTGCCTTCCCTTAAAACATATATATATGGCCCTTCAATATTAAGTTCTTTATGAAGATGTTTTTGGAAAAGCATTTAATAATACCTTTCATATAAAGTCTTTAAAGTATTTTGTACAATTAAAGTAAATAAGTAGGATAAATAGTGATAAATTACAACACTTCAGCTATAAACATGTAGAACTAAGTGGCTGTTTTCTAAAAACAATACATGCACTTTATGGGAGAAAACACTAAACTTGAAACTCCAGATTTTATGTTAAGGGAAACATTACTACACCTTGAAGTGTTCTGTCAAGCAAGTTTCCAGCTTGACTGCTATTATCTTCCTTTAATGTCCTGGCATTAACTAGGCAGCCCAGGGCTACATTTGACTCATAGTGACTTTGCTTGTGATTTCTGTGTCCTTGTCCTTCGCTACACAACACTGATCTATTCTCAGCCGGTAGTATTGTCAAGTTAAAATGAGCATGTGCTAGGAATGCAAGTGGGTGTAAATCAGGGGTTGGCAAAGTTTTTGTGGCTTGGGCCGGTTCATGGTCCCACAGACGCTGCAGTGGGCCAGAGTGCGCACGCATGCATGTGCAAATGCTATTTCCGGTGTGGAGGAAGCGTGCCCAGCTTCCCATTGGCTGCAGGAGCTTCCTGCAGCCAATGGGAGCCAGCCAGCACTGTGGAAGGCGGTCCCCGCTCTACTCCACGCCGGTTTAGCACGGCGCACAGGAGCCGACCGAGCGGGCGGTGGGGATCCATGGGCTGGTTAAACAACCCCCTGGGCCACTTGTGGCCCATGGGCCTTAGGTTGTCGACACCCTGGTGTAAATTGAGGCAGTTCAGTTGCATTAGAGGCAATGGGAAGGGGACCTGTGTATGCTATGAACCTCTGAGCTGCAAGACATTCTTGCAGTAATGTTGCTGCATAAGCACCATTGGATATGTTTTTGTTTCCAAATGCATTTTTTTCCACACACGAAAAGGAAGCTCTGACCCATGTCCCAAATTCAGCTTGCTTAGACCTCCTCATTTGACCTACCAGGCAATTTCCCCCAAACTGGATCTTTCACAGTTGGCCCTTGTATCTCTCCCCATCTCCACGATTTGGTTTGCCAAGCCCAAAAGATTCCCCACCCCAGCGATATAAACTTACCTCATAAATCTCAGTGGACTCAATAAAACTTATTTTTGAATAGATATACACAGGATTGAACTGTGAAATGGCCATAAACTGATTTCTCTGACCCATCATTATTTCTCACACTAAGCTGATATTGAATCCTCTCAAATTTGTTTGAAAGAAATAACAAATTCCATCCTACCTATCTCTTTCCTTGTTTTGTATTCTAATTTCCATTTGAAGGTTGTGTTATACTGTGTAGTGCACTTCTGTGTGCTATGGCGTGAATCGCCCTGAAATCCGTGGAACTGACTTACTAATAAGCATGTATATGATTTTTGCAGTTCATCCCATTCAATTCGCCTACTACTCTGATGCAGAGGTGGAGAACCTGTGGCCTTCCACATAACTCACTGGTAGAGCCTTGCATACAAATTGTCCCTGATTCAGTCCCCAGAATCTTCAGACAGGGCTGGGACTGTTCCTCATTTGAAACCCAGAGAGCTGCTGCCAGTCAGATAATGAATGAATGAATTAAATGGATTACTTGCCCTTCACCAGCAGGTTCTGGGGTAGTTTACAGCAGCTTGAAATTCAGTGTTAAAAACAGTTAAAACAAATCTCAGGAAACACATATTGTCAATAGCCAGGGTAAAGATGTGCATCTTTAGCATTCATCAAAAGCTGTGTAGTGGGTTGGGAGATGCAGCTCTATGGGGATGGAGTTCCACATCTTAGGTGCTTCCACAGAAAATGCTGTCTCTCAGCCTGCCACCACCTGAAACTTCTGAGGGTGGCAGAGTTACCTTGGCTGCTCTTAACACATGAGAGGGTCTCTAGGGAAATACCTCTGATATTTGGGCCATCAGTTGTTTACAATTTAAACAGTAGCATGAGCACCTTCAATTGGGCCCCAAAACAAACTGGCAGCCAGTATGTAGAGAATATGGACCTAGATGGAACAATATCTGACTCTGTATAGGGCAGCTTCCTATGCTGGTTTGCAGTTCCTATTATCCCTGACATTGTCCATGTTGACAGTGGCTGATGGGAGTTGGAGTCCAACAACATCTGGGGGGCACCAGCTTCCTCACTCTAGCTCTGATGTAATCTGACACCATCATAGCTGTCTTAAGAGTTTTTTGTACTGTTAGGCAATGCAAACAAACTATTGATTCTGGAGCAGGAAGAGAACATGCAATGTTTCATCTTATAAAAGCTCATTTTCAACATCTGTCACAACCATGAACATTATCCGTCTAAACAGTTTGACTAGCACAAGGACTTCCAGTGATGCAATAGAACTTTCCTTTCCCTGTGTACCTCCTGCGTGCCCGTAAATCTGCTCTGTAGGGTTGAAGGAACTCCTGGAACAGGTTTAGAGGAGAGGAAGCAGGCAGGAAAGTTCCATTATGCAATTAAAAGTTATTGTGCTAGCGAAGCTGTATAGCTGGATTCCATCCCATGTTTTTAAAATCGGGATCATGGCCCTGTTTGACTCTTATTCTTTGTTGATAACAGTTTCTGCCTTGGAGGCAGGGATTATGGGTTTTTTTGTTTTCTATTTCCAAATCATCATGCAGTAGTGTTTTAGCCCTAAATTTTTGCCCCAGGTTGTCCAGAGTAATCTTCTTCACTGTCTCTACTTGGTTTATTCTCCTGATCTTGTTGAACATCTCGGCATCAGTTTTTGAAGTATAGGCCTCAGAGGCCTCCCATTCTTGATGTTGGATTTTCTGTTGTAGGACTCCTTTTTCAGCCTCTGAGATTTCCAGATTGTCTTTGGAGATCTTTATTACTCCACTATATTGATTTATTTTCAGCCTCAGCCTGCCTCAAATTATTTCTCCTGCAAGAACTTCTGATTTTCTTGGTCATATGATTGTCTTGCCTCAAGATGTCATAATAGTGGCTCTCTGTTCTTCTTTTCTTGTGGCAGTGTCAGCTACATATCTGGATGCCCTGCTTTGAAAGGAATTTCATACAGTTATTGGGCTAATACTTTGTGCTGAATGTGTTTCACACTATGAGGCAAGGATCAAAACCAGAGTCAAACACAGTGATGCTTTCTAATGGCCCTGGAGGTCCATTCTCCTCTAAAATGGATCTTTTGGGCAACAGTGTTCGAAACTCCCATTGCTCTAGGTCCATTTGGCAACAGGGAATTTCATTAGCGCAAGCAATTTCTGAGCTCTGGGTGCAGTACTGCACCTAAAATTTCAGTTGGAGGAAAGGAGGACCTCTTTCTGCCTCCCCAATTCCAGCTACTCTCTGAAGACTGGCGAAGAGACCCTCTTAAGATTATTAGGGAGGTGGGCAGGGGAAGGACTAGACCATGTGCAAAATGAACATAATATTTTAGCTGCAGTTTATTCATTTTCAGCTTTGTGTTCTTTCTTTTTTTAAAGCGTGCCTAGACATTCTATTGTTGCACCCATAATCTAGGTTTAAGGTACCATTTGGCTCCTAGCTTTCATATCTAGTGTTTCTAATACTGGTGGGCAGACTTGGCCTGAAGCCATCCCTCTTTCATAACTAGGATTTGCTTTTTCCACTAAACCCATATTTCCTATTGCCTACTCTGCTTTTTCTGTCAGTCCCTGTAGAGGTTCCATTTTGAGAGTATGTATGTGTGCCTTGCTCTCCTCCAAAACGTGCCTTATTTCCTCTGAATTTTTTGTTCCCTTTTGGTCTTTTTCTTTACTGTTTCTTACACTCTGACCTCCCCCCCCCCTTTTCTTCTCCTGATTTTGTCCGTTTTTCTTTTCCAGAAATTAGGGGCAAGCTGTCTAAAGCTCCCGTTTGGTCTCTTGTTTCTCTTGACCAAGCCACACAATTTAGTTAGATGTGAGCTGTGAAAGCAGTAGAAGTGAATAATACTTCATAGCAGCCACCTATGCTTAAAGGTATGCTACCTTTGAACATGGGGAAGGGCCATAGCTCAGTGGGAGAGCATCTACCATGCATATACAGAAAGTCCCAGGCTCAATCCCTGGCATCTCCAAGAAGAGTTGGGAATGTCCTCTGTCTGTAACTCTGGAGAGCTGCTGCCAGTCAAGATAAAACTAAGCTGAAAGGGCCAGTGGTCTGACCCTGTGTAAGGTAGCTTCCTAGGTTCCTATCGCCGGAGCAATTTCAGTGGTTATTGCCAATGATTTTAATCTGTACTTTGGACCCATGAACAGAAGTTTAAAAAGTTTATTCTTCCTTCCCTGCTCCTATTATCAACTTAACATCACAGTGTTTCACAGAGAGTTATGAGTCTTAAATACCCCTTTTATCTGTAAACAGTGTGATAATGCACAGTAGCCAGCATGGTTTTTATCTGTGCAAGCAGCCACTTTGTGCGAGTTATTTCCATATGTGGACTTTTCCCACTAAAGCAGGTATTTTGTTGAAATGAAAGGCGACATACAAATTATTTTAATCAAGTAAATGAAAAGCTACAAATAAACAAATCTACGCGTTTGCATTCAACTCAAAGAACCAATGTTGGCCAAGGGTCCATTCTGTGTATCTTCACCAACCACACAAGTTCACTAATAATAGTAAGGCATTGCCTGCTCGGACAGCTTAGCCATACATTCCCTCCCTCCTAACCCTTGGATGTTGGAAGGTAATATGGCTATATCATTGTTACATTTCCTTCCACCCTTGTGCTATAGGACATAAATTACTATGCAGTATGGAATATAAAATACTGATCTCTTGTGTCTCCCTGTGCTCTTGAGGGAACTGTATTAATAATGACCCTGCTCTATGCCAATTATTAGGATTAACAGGTGTGATAAGGTACCTCCCCACTCTTCATAAACTTCTTTCCATGTATAGCTTCCTACTAAACCAGGCATAGGCAAACTCAGTTCCTTCAGATGTTTGGGACTACAATTCCCATCATCCCTAGCTAACAGGACCAGTGGTCAGGGATGATGGGAATTGTAGTCCCCAAGCTTCTGGAGGACCGGAGTTTGTCTATGCCTGTACTAAACCTTATGTGCCACAGTTCTACACCCTCTTTTCTTTTTTAGGCTGGAACTCTCTGCTTCCAAGAAACTTCTTTTTCTCAACTCCCTTGTCAGGGATGGGAATTGTTCTTCCTGTCTGAATGGTGAGCAGCACCCCTATTCTTTTCTAACATTTTATATTTCAAGTTGAAAACATCCACTTTAAAAAACAACAACTTGGAAACTAGCTTCTTAAGAAAAATGAGTATTGTTCATATAAGCCAACAGAGCAAAGACAAAATCGCATTTTCAGACTGTTTAGTACCCTTATTATGAAAATAACTGAACAGGAGGTAGAAGGTGCCATTCAGAATATGCAATTAGGTAAATCTCCAGGACCGGATGGACTGACTTCTAGATACTATAGATCTTTAAAAGAATGGTTAGTGCAACCTTTAAAGGAAGTCTGTAATGAAATAATGGATGGGAAAAAGGCACCAGAGTCATGGAAGGAAGCGTATATCACACTTATACCGAAAACAGAGACTGAAAAGACGCAGCTCAAGAACTACCGCCCCATATCACTGCTTAATGTGGATTATAAAATCTTTGCAGATATTTTGGCTAAAAGACTAAAAAAAGTGCTAGTGGAAGAGATTCATAAAGATCAAGCAGGCGTTCTCCCGGGTAGACACTTATCTGATAATATGAGAAACATAATCAATATTTTAGAAAAATTACAAGTGAATATTAATACCAAGGCAGTTTTGATATTTGTGGACGCGGAGAAAGCTTTTGACAACATTTCTTGGAGTTTTATGAAGAAGAACCTACAGGGGATGGGGGTAGGTCAAGGCTTTGGAAATGGTATAAGTGCAATTTATTCAGAACAAAAGGCTAAATTAATTGTCAATAACGTGGTGACGGAGGAATTTAAGATAGAAAAAGGGACACAACAAGGTTGCCCAATCTCCCCATTGCTTTTTATATCGGTCCTGGAGGTTTTGCTGAATATGATTAGAAGGGACCACTTGGTTAAAGGTATACAAGTCGGAGCTAAACAGTACAAATTGAGAGCATTTGCAGATGACTTGGTATTGACATTACAGGAGCCAGAATCTAGTACTAAAAGAGTTTTGGAACTGATTCAAGAATTTGGTCAGGTTGCAGGATTTAAATTGAATAAGTTAAAAACAAAGGTCTTAGAGAAAAATTTAACAGCGATTGAGAGAGAGAGGTTTCAGAGTGAGACAGGTTTAACAGTGGTTAAGAAAGTGAAATACCTGGGGATTAACATGACAGCTAAAAATGGGAATCTATTTAAAGACAATTATGAAAAATGCTGGACTGAAGTGAAAAAAGACTTAGAAATTTGGTCAAATTTGAAGCTTTCACTGCTAGGCCGCATTGCTGTGATAAAAATGAATGTATTGCCTAGAATGTTGTTTTTGTTTCAAACATTGCAAATTTTGGATAAAATGGATTGCTTCAAGAAGTGGCAGAGAGATATTTCTAGATTTGTCTGGCAGGGCAAGAAGCCTGGAATAAAATTTAAAATACTAACGGACGCAAAGGAAAGAGGTGGATTTGCCCTGCCAGACCTTAAACTTTATTATGAATCAGCAGCTTTTTGCTGGCTGAAAGAATGGCTGCTTCTTGAAAACACAGACATTTTGGATTTAGAAGGTTTTAACAATGTTTTTGGATGGCATGCATATTTGTGGTATGATAAGGTCAAAGCACATAAAGCATTTAAAAATCATATTGTCAGGAAAGCATTGTTTAATGTCTGGATAAGATATAAGCACCTACTTGAAAATAAAACCCCAAGGTGGTTGTCACCGATGGAAGCGAAGGCTCAGAAAAAGCTCAATATGGAGGCCAAATGGCCGAAATATTGGGAAATTTTGGAACAAGAGGGAGACAAATTGAAACTGCAGAGTTTTGAAAAACTAAAAAATAAAGTGCGAGATTGGCTTCATTATTATCAGATAATGGAGGCTGTGATGGGATGATGAGCTGCTTGTGCGTAAAATCGTATCCCCTCAGAGTTTGTTTAAGTCCACAAACCTCTGTCTGTGACGGAGCCCCTCAGACATGGCTCCTCTAGTCACTAGCAGATTCCGACAGTGGTTGCTTTCGGAATCGCTTCCAACATAAAAGCTCCTTAACGGAAACACGTCTTCTGGACTCTCTGCGTGTCAGTTTCCGGCGAGGAGTGGGTGTCCCTACAGGAGGTCCTGAAACCTCCCCACTGTTTTCGCTGGAAGTGTCTCTGAGCCATCCCTCCAGCTCACTTTCCCTCAGCTCAGCTCCTCTCCCCTACTGGTTCCCTCTTCAGCTGCTGAGTCTCTCCCAACCTGTGTGAGCCCTTTCACCTCCCTTCCTTCCGATGGCAGTTCCCTGACATCCACCTCCCCTCCAGGGCCCCCTTCACCCCCTCTCGCCCCCTCCTCTACGGGCGGTGAGGAGGCAAACCCCGGAATGAACTTCCTTCATCTTCCGATGTCTCGAACACTTCTCTCCACCTGTTGCGGTTCCTGGTCTCGAAGTACTCCTCCTCCTCAGAGTCCATCTCCCTTCCCCTTCCGAGTCCGGGAAGCCTTCCAACTCCTCCTCCTCATCAGTGGTCCCAAAGTATTCCCTCCGGAACCTCTCCACAGGCTGAGGTTTCCTTGGGAACCTTTGATGGAACGTTTCTATCAATACCTCGTCATTGATATCTTCGGCCATTACCCAAGTGTTTTCTGACTCCGGTTCTCCTTCCCACGCTACCAAATACTCCACCTGATTCCCTTCCACCTGGCGTCGAGGATTTCTGCCACATGGCTGCTGCATTCTCTTTCTTCTATGACCGGTCCCCGAGTGGCCATCCCTTCTCGTCCCCTTCGTACGGTGACAGTAACGACCTGTGAAATACTGGGTGCAGTTTCATGTGGTTGGGTAACCGGAGCCTGAAAGCCACTGGGTTGACCTGTTGAATGACCTCAAAGGGACCCAACCTCCTGGGTCTTAATTTCTTACAACCTCCTTTGAACGGCAACCCTTGGGTTGACAGCCACACCCTATCTCCCACCCTTATGGTTTCACCTTCCCTTCGGTTCTTGTCTGCTTGCCTCTTGTATTCTTCCTTCGCCCTTTCTAAGTTGAGTTGGAGCTGACAATGGATTGCTTCCATTTCTTCTACAAAATGCTCGGCTGCCGGGACGCTCCATCTCTCCCCATCTCCCCTGGGAAAGCCCTGGGATGACACCCATAATTAGCCAAGAAGGGGCTCATCCCTGTGGACACATTCTCGGCATTGTTGTAGGCAAATTCCGCCAGCGCCAACTTTTCTACCCAGTCATTCTCTCTGTCATTGACATAACACCTCAGGTATTGCTGGAGGACACCGTTTGCTCTTTCCGCCTGCCCGTTGGTTTCAGGGTGCCGGGCAGTCGAAAAATTGACCTCCACCTGCAGTAAGCTCATGAGCTTCCTCCAGAACCTGGAAGTAAATTGTTTTCCTCGGTCTGAGACCACCCTCAATGGCACCCCGTGCAACCTAAAAATGTGTTCTACAAATAACTTCGCTGTCTCTTCCGCCGTGACTGCATGCGAGCAAGCTACAAAGTGGCACATCTTTGTTAGTAGGTCCACCACCACCATGATGGCTGTTTTCCCTTTGGACTTCGGCAGATCAGTCATAAAATCTATCGACACTGCCTCCCAAGGTCGTTCTGGGGTTGGTAAGGGTTCTAATAGCCCCGCCGGCGCCCTTTGGCTCGCTGGCATTGCTCGCACCCTCTTACATACTCACGTACATCTTCCCTCACCTTGGGCCACCAAAATTCCCTGGTGACCAACCACATGGTTTTGTGTTGTCCAAAATGCCCCGCCGTAGGGCTGTCGTGCAACTGCTTGAGTACCCCCCCCTTAAGTCTCCTTCAGGGATATACAGTGCCCCTTTGTAATACAAAGCTCCATTTCTTTCCTCGAAACCCCTGGTTCCTCTCCCTCACCCCTAAGACCTCTGAGCTTATTCTGGGCGTATTCATCATTCTCTGTTTCCTCTACCAGTTCTCTTTGTCCCACCAATGCCGCCCCACACACCCAGCGGTCCTCTGGAATGACATGTCTCTCTTCGGGTGCTCCCTCCCTCCAAATATTCAGGTTTGCGTGAGAGAGCGTCCGCCCTAATGTTCTCTGGGCCTGGCACGTAACAAATCTCAAAGTTAAATTTGGAGAACTCCTGGGCCCATCTCACTTGCCGTTGGTTGAGCACTCGTGCCGTCCTCCAATACTCTAGGTTCTTGTGGTCAGTGCACACTTGCACCTTATGTTGTGCGCCAATTAGCAGGTGCCTCCATCTCCGGAACGCCTCATGAATGGCTAGTAGTTCTCGGTCATACACCGTGTAGTTCCTCTCGGATTTGTTCAGCTTTCGCGAAAAAAGGCACACGGTCTCCACTCTGACTCCTCCTTCCCTGGCTGCAGAAGCACCGCCCCAACCGCTCTGTCTGATGCGTCAGTTTCCACTCTCATCGGTTTTTGTAAATCCACATGCAGGAGTTGTTGTTCCGAGGCGAAGGCCCTTTTAGTTCCTCAAATGCTCGCTCCGCCTCCTCAGTCCAAACGAACTTCTTCTTACTGCTGAGACAGTCCGTAATGGGCGCCGTCAGGTGGGCAAAGTTTCGGATGAACTTACGATAGAAGTTCCCAAATCCTAGGAACCTCTGCACATCCTTCCTTGTTTTGGGTGTTTTCCATTCCAGCACCGCCTGGACCTTGCCGGGATCCATGGCCAATCCCTTGTCTGACAGGCGATACCCCAGGAATTCCACCTCCTTGGTATGAAACTGACACTTCTCCAGTTTCACCCACAGCTGGGTGGCTTGCAGCCTGCTCAACACTTCTCTGACGTCTCTCACATGCTGCTCCTCATTCTCAGAATACACCAACACGTCGTCTAAGAAGGCCACACAATTCTTGTAAAGCAAAGGCCCCAGGACGTGGTTCATAAACGATTGAAAGCATGCGGAGCCTGCTTGGAGGCCGAAGGGCATAACCAAATATTCAAATGCCCCTAAAGGGGTGAACATGGTGGTTTTCCATTCATCACCCTTCCTTATTCGTATCAGGTTGTACGCCCCCCTTAGGTCCAGCTTTGTGAAAATCTTTCCCTTCCGCACCCTTGTCAAAATGTCGTCAATCCTGGGCATAGGGAAGGCCACTGGTTCTGACACTGCATTTAAGGCCCTGAAGTCACACACCAGCCTCGGCTTGTTCGTGTTTTTTTATCCACAAAAACACTGGGCTGCCCCCCACCGCCCTGGACTCTCTGATGAACCCTCTCTTCAGGTTCTTGTCAATGAACTCTCTTAGCTCCTGCATCTCTCTGTCTGACATGGCGTACAGCTTGCCTACAGGGAGCTGTGCCCCAGGGAGTAAATTGATTTGACAGTCAAAGGGTCTATGCGGGGGTAGTTGGTCAGCTTCCCTTTCGCTGAAGACGTCACGGAGATCTGCATATTGTCGTGGTACCTTCACGTTCTCCGTTACTTCAGTCCCTGCTAGGGTGGCTTGGGCCCCTGCCAAACCCTTCCCTCTTTGCAGTGTTCTAAGCAATGTGCTGAACCAAAAGAAACCACTCTCTGATGCCAGCCCACCAGCGGATCATGTAACGCTAGCCAGCTCATCCCCAATATAATGGGAGCTCCTCCCAAGGTGGCCACATTAAACGCTATCAGTTCGGTGTGCCTTGCTACCTTCATTATCATTGGGACGGTCTGCAAGCTGACTTCTCCTCCCAACAGCTCCCTGCCATCGATCGTGGTCACCTGCAGGGGGTTGCTTAAAGGGATCGTCTGTATCTGGTGTTCAGCTGCAAACTCTTTGCTCATGAAATTGCAGGAGCTGCCTGAGTCCAACAGCGCCTTTATCTTTAGAGGGTGTCCGTTTGGCAGCTCTAGCGCCACTTCTATCACTAGGGCGGGTTTAGGAGGTTCTGGCGTGGGCACTCTCACTGCTCTTTGGCCTGGCTGCTGTGCCCCGACAGTGGCAGCCAGGCGTTGGCTTTTACTTGCTCCGGTATTTCTTCCTCTCTTCCCTCCACAGCTCCTACCATCCCTTGCCATTCCTTCCTCTGGGGGCAGACTCTGGCAAAGTGACCTGGCTGTTGGCAGAGATAGCATTTCCGGGCGCCTTTTCCCTCCTTCTTTCCCCTCACTGGGCTTTGAAACTGCGCGCGCGCGCTGTTCCGATTTCCATCGGCTCTGCCGGCGGAAAGTTGGCTCTGGCAGGTCGGGAATGCGGAACTCCTTCCAACGTTCCCCGTCCCTTCCCGCCTCTCCAATGCTCTCGCCTCCTGGCGCGCTCCTATGGTCAGCGCTGATTTGGTCAGCTGGTCCATAGACTCCGCCCTGGGCGCCCGGGAAAGTTCGTCTTTCACAGCCGAAGAAAGCCCTTCTTCAAAGAGCATTTGAATGGGTTCCGCCGATAAGTCCCACCCCAATCTGTGAACCAGCATGGTGAACTCAGTCCAGTACTCACGGACAGATCGGCTCCCCTGTTTGCAAGCCATTAACTGTCTGCGCACCACTCCCTGTTCAATATCGCTGGAAAACATCAGATCCATGGCGCGAAAGAACTTCATCGTGTCCTTTAGGACGTCACTATTCGCTGCCATCAGGGGTCTAACCCAGTCTCTCGCCTCCTTTTCAAGATGCTCAATCACGAAAGCCACTCGTGATTCCTCGTCAGGGAATTCATCAAACTGCAGATTGAGGGCATATTGCATCTCTGTCCGAAAGCCATGATAGTCTTTGGGCTCCCCCCCAAACTTCTGCACCAATCCTGGTACCTTTCTGGCGAGCTGGGTGGCTTTCCCTTTTGTCTGCATCCTGAGCCCTCCTCTCCTCAAGCCTCGCCGTCTGCATCGCTAGCTGGACCTCCAACACCCGGTACCTTTCTTCCAGGCTTGGACCCGCTCCAGCTCCTGCTTCTCCGGTTCCGGCTGGGTTGCTCATGATGCCTTCTCCTGCACAAGCTGCTTTCAAAGACTGTCGGAATGCTGTGATGGGATGATGAGCTGCTTGTGCGTAAAATCGTATCCCCTCAGAGTTTGTTCAAGTCCACAAACCTCTGTCTGTGACGGAGCCCCTCAGACATGGCTCCTCTAGTCACTAGCAGATTCCGACAGTGGTTGCTTTCGGAATCGCTTCCAACATAAAAGCTCCTTAACGGAAACACGTCTTCTGGACTCTCTGCGTGTCAGTTTCCGGCGAGGAGTGGGTGTCCCTACAGGAGGTCCTGAAACCTCCCCACTGTTTTCGCTGGAAGTGTCTCTGAGCCATCCCTCCAGCTCACTTTCCCTCAGCTCAGCTCCTCTCCCCCTACTGGTTCCCTCTTCAGCTGCTGAGTCTCTCCCAACCTGTGTGAGCCCTTTCACCTCCCTTCCTTCCGATGGCAGTTCCCTGACAGAGGCATATAATTTGGATAAGAAAATTGGCTTCCAGGTGGAAAAATCAAAATTGGAAACAGAACCGTTAGAACCCAAAACCAAGATTTTGTCAAAGATGTATAACTTGCTGTTGAAATGGAATACTCAGGATGAAACGGTGAAATCTGCTATGATTAAATGGGCACAAGATGTTGGACATAACATAATGATGGCTGACTGGGAACAGTTATGGACCACAGGTATGAAGTTTATGGCATGTAATGCCTTAAGAGAGAATATTATGAAAATGATTTACAGGTGGAACATGACCCCAGTCAAGCTTGCAAAAATCTATCATTTGCCCGATAATAAATGTTGGAAATGTAAAGAAACTGAAGGTACATTCTTTCACTTTTGGTGGACGTGCCCAAGGATTAAGGCTTTCTGGGAGATGATTTATAATGAAATGAAAAAGGTATTTAAATATACCTTTCTGAAGAAACCAGAGGCCTTTCTCCTGGGCATGGTTGGCCAATTGGTGTTAAAGAAGGATAGAACTTTCTTTATGTATGCTGCAACAGCAGCAAGAATACTTATTGCAAAGTATTGGAAGACACAAGATTTACCCACTCTGGAAGAATGGCAGATGAAGGTGATGGACTATATGGAACTGGCGGAAATGACTGGCAGAATCCGAGACCAGGGAGAAGAGTCGGTGGAAGAAGATTGGAAGAAATTTAAAAACTATCTACAGAAATACTGCAAAATTAATGAATGTTAGAATGATGTTGGAATGAAGTTAAGTGGTTTTTAGCAGCAATGTTATAAAGGAATATGTAAAAATGGATTGTTAACAGGTGATAATCTAAAGTTATAATATATTAAGATAGAAGATTAAGATAAATTTAAAGAGGGAAAGGAATTGCTGAACTAACTAATTGAACTGGAATACAAAAAAGGGAGGTGTGAGGAGGTCAGGGAAACAAGCAAATGAAAGATAAGATATGGAAAGACTGATTTGTTTTTAACTGTTTTTACCTTGTATTTTCATTTTCGTTTTTTTTTCTTTTCTTTTACTTTTTTCTCTTATTTTTGTAATATGCTGAAACTTTAATAAATATCTTATAAAAAAAATAGTACCCTTATTATGAACAGGAGAATGTACTTTTTCAGGCTTCCATTGAGTTTTAGTTTTGATCTGGCTGACTTCCGAGCTGCAACTTGGTTCTGAGGAATTGCACAAGATCATTTAAAAATTATGCTTCTATACACGTTCCTTCTAGCTGTGAAGATTTGTGCAAGTTGGTAGCTGCACTGACAGGAATGTAGTAGCAGGTAGATTGATTTAAACCAAGAGGATTTAAATTGATGATTTACTGTACTAAGGTCAGGGTACTAATTATGCTGCATAAAGCCTTAAAACAGCTTGGGACCAGGATGCCTTAAAGGCCACCTCACCTGCTATATATACCTGGTTGATCACAGTGCTCTGCAGGTGAGGGTCTGCTGCAGATACCATTTTATGAGGAGGTCTGTTCTGCACAATGCAGGAATCCAGCTTTTAGTGGTGTGGCACCAACCCTTTGGATTCCCGCCCCCCTTTGAATATTAGACTAGTGCTATTTCAGTTGCCTTGACACCTACTGAATACCTTCATCTTTCAATAAGCCTTTTAAGTTGAGATCTGACCTAACTGCATCTATATTGGAATTGTTTTAGCTTTAGTTTTTATTGTTTTATCACTTGTTTGCTACCCTGGGCTCCTTTGGAAGGAAAGGCAAAATAAATTATAGGCTAGGAATGACTTAATTAGCTCTGTCAGAGGAAGCACAATTATTATTTTGTAGTATTATTATTACTACAAAACAATCAGTAAGAAAAAGAGTTGATTTAAATCAAGTTTCTTATTGATGCTTGTTTCCTAAACATTTGCCTTTGCTAGGGGACTTGCTTCTGTCAACTTTGCACCTGTCAAAGTTAGCCCTAGCTGTGGTACCCACTGGACCATAGAAGTTCCCTACCCCTGGTATACATGGCTGCAGCCTAAACTCTGTTAATTTACAATTGAATAGAGTACCGTATTTTTCGCCCTATAGGACGCACCGTCCCATAAGGCGCACCTAGTTTTTTTGGGGGGAAATAAAGGGAAAAAAATTATTTCCCCCCCCCAGGCGCGGGGCTGGGGCGGGGGAGGCCCGAGCTTCCCCCGACCCCAGCCCCCAAACAGGCAGCTCTCTGCAAGCCGTGGGAGCCCAGTGCTAGCTCCGCTGCTTGTGGAGAGGTCCGCGAAGCCTGGACGCGCTGATCTCAGCGCGCGCAGGCTTCGGCATGCAGGCAACTCTCCACAAGCAGCAGGAGCGCTCCCGCTGCTTGCGGAGAGGTCCGCAAAGCCTGGACGCGCTGATCTCAGCGCGCGCAGGCTTCGGCATGCCGGCACCTCTCCGCAAGCAGCGGGAGCGCTCCCGCTGTTTGCGGAGAGGTCCGCAAAGCCTGGAGAGCGAGAGGGGGGGGGGCGCACTGACCCCGCTCGCTCTCCAGGCTTCAGCGAAGCCTGCATTCGCCCCATAGGACGCACACACATTTCCCCTTCATTTTTGGAGGGGAAAAAGTGCGTCCTATAGGGCGAAAAATACGGTAGTATTTTCAGTATTAAATCTCTTTGCTGCCTGTGTTTGGCAGGTAGAATGTAAATATGCATACTTTAGAAATGATCAAATTGGTTCTTCAGTTACATAGAAAAGACTCATTTAAATCAATGTATTTGGTAGAGGTATTACTTTTAGTTTTGAGATTAGGGATAACATATTTATATGCAAGTTATTTTATAGTAGTGGGAAGAGCCTGGCGCTGTCCAGAAATTTGAAGAAATTTGTTAAAATGTGATTGTAAATGGATAGTGTCATGTGTGAGTTTTAAGGAACCAGGCCTGAATCAATTGGGGAGGGGGAAGCCAATGGTTAATTAGGGTCAGTTTTTTCCACCGTCTTGAATCAAAATGGCACCTGATGTCCCAACATAGGCAAAGACTTCCACCTCCACTTCTGGAACTCTTGCTGAGTCCAACCTGTCCAAATTGGTGCAGAGTGGGACTGTCAGGTTAAATTTGTTGAAGACCTGCCAAATGGGACAACAATATCTTCAGAGGTGCCCAAATCAGCATAGTTTGTACCTGATACACACACAAAAAGGAAGAAGCCACACCAAAGTCAGGTTTCAGTCCATTTGATTCAAAATGGCACCTGGCACCCAACTTTTGACAAATATCACTGAAGGAACCCTTGTGCCAGGTTTGGTGACGTAATCTCAAGAGATGGCCAAACCTATGCCAAAAAATAGGCAAAGTCATGCCAAAATGATGTTTTGGTCTGCCATCTTAATTCAAAATGGTGCCTGGCATCAACTAAGTCTGCCACCCTCACCTTGGGAACCGTTGTGCCAACTTTGGCAACGATATCTCAAGAAGTGCCAAACTCAGAGAACAGACAGATAGGCCAAACTGTTTCCAAAATATATAGAAGATTATTTTATTTTTTAATGTTGTTGCTTTTTAAACCCATTCACATTTGTGTTTGGGGGCTGGGGCTGCTTGGCATTTTGTATATCAGATTGTGTAAATGCCTCAAGTTCATATCTAGAGTGACATATCTAGATTGGCAGAAGAGAATGGAACAGCAAAGATTCTCTTCTGCCAGTCCATTCATGGCTGCTGCTTCTCCCACCACCCCTTTTATTAAAGAGATATTAGAAGCAAAAGTATTCAGCCTTTCATATATGCACAGAATAATTGGCTTGCTTCTGCAACAGGTTGTGCACATTTGCCTGTGAGTTGGGATGGCATTATTATATTGCTATATTGTATTACAAGGAATCATTTACTCTTCCCACAGACCAGTTGCAAGGCTTGCCTAATATATGCAGTGTGTTCTCCTGATCCAAGAGCTTGGACTTTGGGGAAGAAGGGATTTGTGCAATGCAAGCACCATAGCACTTCTGCTTTTGCCTCTGGATTGAAAACTGATGTCCACAGTTAATTTAGTACTTGGTCGCAATTCCAGGTCCGCAAAACAGAAGTAAGGTTTGCCTGTTAGGTTAGCCACTTTCCATGTACATTTGTTCAGTGAAATATTGTGTTTTATTACAATTCAGGTAAAGCATTGTAATGTTGCAAGAGATTATGGTGGTGTTGGTCTTAACATTGTTTAGTTGAGTTACTCTAATGCAGGCATAGGCAAACTTCAGATGTTTTGGGACTACAACTCCCATCATCCCTGACCACTGGTCCTGTTAGCTAGGGATGATGGGAGTTGTAGTCCCAAAACATCTGGAGGGCCAAGTTTGCCTATGCCTGCTCTAATGTCATGGTGGTTGTGGAGGAAGCGCAGCTTTGTTGCCATGGTCTGAGCTACTCAGAGATCAAGGGAGGCAGGAGAAGGACATGGAAAAAGAGAGAAAGAGGGAAAACTTAGGAAAACAGGCCTGAGAGGGCAGCAGCCCAAGACAAGCAGGCAGTATTGGGAAAGGAGGGTTTGGATTAGAGAGAGGGAGCAGTGTCAGGGAGAAGAAGGAACCTAGGAAGAGAGAGGGGCTGCGGGTCATTCAATAGATAGACAAATGCATCTGACAAAGTAGGCTTTAGTCCACGGCAGCTTATGCTGTGTTAGGGAAGGGGCCACAAGGTTCTTATGCGGTATCTGAATGTTCTCATGAAAAGCGTGCAGGTGTAGGTGCATAAAATGATTTCACCTGCCTTTTGAATTATTATATTGGCATGTCTTTGGCAGTTGCAGGAAGCTGAGCTCAGTTGCGGGCATGGAAACCTGCCGCATTTCTGGCAATTGATGTGTAACTGCTGATGTGTGGGAAGCATTTGTGATGACTGTGTGCAGTAAGGGAATCCCTTGATGAGCAGCTAGTTTTGCCAGAAGACCACTTTGACAAGAGGGGTGGGTGGGAAGAGAACCAGCGCTCCTGAACCTCAAGTCTGCTGATGAGTCCTGCTGCCATAAGGGTGCCTGTGTACTTTAATAATGATATGTGCCCACTGTTTCTCTTCTCCCCTCTCCCCTTTACTTCTGAGCAACGCCAGGTGCTTGCTGTTGCTCTGTATTTCAATGCCTGTGAAGCTATACTGTATATGGACAGCCTGTGGGGCCAATAGGCATGCTGTGAAAATCACAGCTTTTTTAAAAAAATGATTTTTTTTAGTACCAGTTTTTTAAAAATCCTATGATTAGCAGAGCCAAGTTTTTATTAATATAATGTGAAGGAAAGGGCCAGAAATGTAGATGTTACTGTGCTGGGTACAGACAAAAAAGGGGGGAAAGGCTTGCCTTTCATTTTTATGATTTCCTATTCTCATTGCTAAAAGTGTGTCTTTGCCAGAAATTCCTTTTATGTAAGTTGTTTCTAGCTTGAAGTCTCCGTGTCTGACCCCTGTTCTGCATCTCAAGGTAACTTTAAAACAGGAAGTGTACAAAGGAGGTTAGTGATGACTGGAGCAGCCAATCCAGCCTCTGTGATCTTCCTAGATAAAGGGGCTTAGCCAATGAGATGCAGGCGGAGGCGAGGTTTGGTGTCAAATAGCATGCTAGATTGAATGTCTTTGACTGTTAAAGTGGAAGGAGGCTGCACAGTGTTTCATTGGAGTCTCTGGGAGTTTTTCACTGAGGCAGGGGTCAGCTGAAAGACAAAGAAAAATGGCGAATAGTTTGTTGGGAGGGCAGCTGTTCAGTTTTGTACCACAGTGGACACTCCAGAGACCTTTTCCTGCATCTCCTGCTGCCTTTGTTTCCTCTTCCTCCACCTCTGGTTTTGTGTGTGTTTGTGTGGAGAAGGGCTAGGAATGACTTAATTAGCTCTGTCAGAGGAAGCACAATTAACTGCACATAAAATAAACGCAATCCCTGGTAAGTTTTTTTAATTGTTTTTGTTTTGTTTTCTATGTAGCGTTCCTAGCTGTAACCAAGAATCCAAGAGTGCAGATAAGTTGAAACTGTCTCAGAAAATGGCCCCTTTGCATTCCTTGCATACCTTACGGAGGAGCACCTACGTTACCTTGCTCTCCTTGGCTTGTGCATGCCCTTTAGCTGGCTCCCCGTCCTCCCCCCCCCACCCCCCGCTTGCCCCCACTTCTGTAGCTGTAAAAGGAGATGTGTGAGGAAAGAGATTAATTTGTGCAGAGATGCCTAATCTTTTGTGCAAGATCTGGGTTGAAAACCTGGAACTCTTTCTCTCCCCCCCCCCCTTTCCCCTCCTGATAATTTGTCTTTGTTCAAATGCACTGAAGCTTTCATAGAAGGAGAAAAACATAAGGGAGTTGTTCTTCAAATGCCCTTTTGATTTTGGGAAATACAAAGAACATTGGCAACACATTTGGAGGAGTGGGGGTGTAGGGAGGAGAGTTAGCATTAACCTGCTCCCTTGCTATATACCATTCAGTCTTTAGTAGCTGAGGCCTTAAACTGATACATTACTCTGTACATATTAGCGTTAATGTAGGTGCCATGCATTTGTAAATCTTGGCAACATTTTTTCACCTGTCATCTCCCCCCCCCCCCGCCCCCCAGTGTTTATAAAGCTTCAGTGAGGGGGGTGTATTACTTGCTTAAATCACCATCGTTCTGAGCAGCAGCTGTCATTCTGTATTGTATTGCATATATCATAAAGTCAGTTTCCATGTGCTGTGATCTGAAAACCTTTGCAGCAACCACATTTTGTTGATGTGGGAAAGTAAGGGGACAGAGAAGGGTTTAATCTCTTGCCCTTGTAGTTTCTGCCTCTTATCTAGGTTAAGTGAGACAAGTTTTTCCTTTGGTCACAGGCTACTAAAGACTTTGCTGTGGGTACCAAAAGACTTGCATCTCTTTTGCAGACTTCTGCTTTCTTTTGACAAGTATTAGAAGGCTTTTGCTTTTCTTCTTAGTTGTAAGTAGATGATGAAGGTCACTGGGATGTTCCTACCACTGAGATCAGTCATCCTTTACTGGAAGAAGGGGAACAAGTGCAGTCTGGAATGGGTTACCTGTTTGCATAGAGTAAAGACTGACACTCATGGCTTTTTTATTTTTTACATTTCTCCCTCCTCGTAGTTGGAATGGTGTTGCAGTAAAAGTTGCTGGAGCAAGGCCTTCCTTTGCTAACAAGAGTGACCTTGAAGCACTGCTTCTCTGAGTTTTAACGATTGAAGGACAAAGTTTGTTTATGCTGTTCTTAGCTATCAAGAAGCATCTGGATTAGGAGGAGGCTGAAGAGTTATTTGTAATACCTGAGCAAAACCATAGTTGGTATAAGTAAGTGGAAGACTGAAACTGAAGCCATTTAAACAAAAATCCTTGAAATTGTTCTCCCTCCCCCCCCCCTTGCCTCAGTCCCAAAGTTTCCAAAGGATTGTGATATTTAAGATGATAAGGAATGTTGTTTTCTGTCCTTATATCCTGCCTAACCTTTCTCCACTGGCTTTGGGAGTTAAATTTTGAGTGTTCAAAGCAGGTTGCCAGCTCCCCCCCCCAATGTAATGGGGTGATGAGCAGGGGCACAACTTAATTTTGCATCAACATTAAACATAGTGTTAACATAAGAGTGTCTCTTGGAAATAAACTTTACCAAGTGTCAGTTTCTAAGGATGGATTTTACACCACCCTTCAAGAATCAGCTGTTCATGACTGAGGGTGGCAAGCATCCAGCCACCCATTAGCCTTGTTGGCTCAAAATTGGCCCTGGTGTCTTGAGTTGCTGAAGGGGACAGGAAGCTTGTTTCTCCTCCTCCACTGCCCTGACCCCATGTATGCTGCTGGCATGTGTGTGTGTGTGTGTGTGTGTGTGTGTGTGTGTGTTTGTGTGAGGGAGAGAGAGAGAGATTGTGAGATTGCTGCTGTCTTCAGCTACCTCTAACTTCATTTGTCCCCGTTTGCAAGCAGCAACCCCTTGCTGGACATAGATCTCCCAAACAGATGCTCTGGTTGCCCAGTAGCAGCTCTCACTTAACTGCAAAAGCAAGATATCCCATTTCATGGATGTCCTCAGGTCTCCCATCCCCCCCACCCCCAGCTGGCACCGAAGTTTTGCAAATGTCTATGCATCCTTGTTTCTGCTGTAGTTAAGAACTTAGGGCACATTCCTGAAATGAATAGCAACATCAGTGGAGCTTGTACAGTAGAGCTTCCTTGTGGATTGTGCCAATGGCATATTCTGTGTACATTGCTACACTTATTCCTTCCAACTAGCTTCTGTATTGCCCGAATATTAGCTCCTCATGGAAGGGATTGATAAGATTCAAGCCAAGCCTATTGGTCACCACCATCCTTAAATGCATAGACTCTGCTTTGCACGTATAAAGGTGTGTTAGGAAACTGCAGAACTGGCCTTTTTATGAATCATAAACCAGGCATTGTTTTGCTTTTATCCTAGCACCCCAGTTTCTCAAGATTGACCCTGTTTTCGCTAAAGCTTGCAGTTCAGTGTCCTAGATAAAATGAAAGCATGCCTCCTGTCCCTTTATTCAAGTCATTGAACCCAGTGGCAAATAGAGGATAGCAGTAGATCTCCATTTAAAGGATTGATGATGTCACTCAAAATGTGATTGCCATTTTAGTGACATTAACAAGAGTATTGCTCTGTTCAGTCTTATTCAGGAGCTCGACTGAAGTCTTCACTTCTGTTTGACAAAATTTAGGCTGTCATTAGGTTGTTATACAGGTTTTGGAGAAGATGAGGTTATTGAAGTGCATTTTTGAGGGAAGTCTGAAGGAAGTAGGAGTCTTGACTATGAGGAGGACATCTTTAGAGAAGGGCTACATGGAAAAGAATGATGGAACATCAGAACTGTTTACCATGGCTTTTAGGCTGTTTGATGCTTTTCAGACATGCATTCTAGGGAACCTTGGGGATCCTTGCAGCTTTTTAGGTGTTCTATAATGAGATGACTAATAATGGCGGACAAGCTCATTTTCAGGGTATCTTGCTCACTACTGCCATTTTCCTCCCTCAGTGGTTTGTGCTAACCATAGTTTAGAACCCAAACCATGCTTTGAGCTTCCCCAAAGCACTAGGCAAACCTGTCTTAAAGGTGCCTGTCTGCTTTCATTTGCCACGCACTCAGCTTTTTTCGATGGTGTAATAGCCTCTGATATTATTGTTCTGTTACCTCCAATATGGTTTGTTTATGTATGTTAACACATAGTTGGCATAGACCATGTTTTGTAAATGCACTTCTGGCTATGGTTTATGATAAATAGCTTATGGAACATTTATGTGTGGGCATTGTCAGGTGTTATAATATCAATAACTTCTTGTATCTCTTCAACCTTGTGAAAGCATTTGGAAGCATGCATACTAAATAGTTGCTATAACTATTAAACATACTTGTTTGCAGCTATATAGAGTCTTCAGTGTAGCAGCATTTTAGAATGCCTTTCATCATTCATCTTATGTGCCTTTTATACTGCAGAATTACTGCTGCTTAGGGCTAAGGAACATATTTCTATTAACTTTCTTTGTAAGGATGCTAAGCAAGATCACTTACATGAAGGCTGAGGCTGCAATCCCATGCCCATTTTTTCGACTAAGTCCTATTTGAATACAGTGGTACTTCTTTCAAGTATGCATAAGATTGAGTTGTAACTGTTCCAAAAGTAAAGACTAGGAGTTACTAGGCAAAATAGCATCTCCATGCGATACAAACTTTTAATGTCCATGCTTTCGCTTAGTAGAGCCAGTGTTAGAAACATAGATATATAAGCTAGGTGCCAAACCAGGGTTATAGTCGCCAAAATGGAGTGTCTAGTTGCCATTTTGGGGCCCGACAGCTTGAAAGCTGTATTTTTCAATACATCTTTTTGGTTCCTGAAATTCATTCTGATTGTGCAGATAAAATATAGCAGGTTGAATTCTACGGGATGTGTTGCTAATGCATGAAAACAGTCAAAATCCAAGGATCCCCAGGCATGCACCTGCAGATGGTGGAGATGTAAGGCACCATACTGGTGCCCAGGCATCTTCACTTGGTCACAAGTGGTCAATAGCCAGGTGCTAAATTTCAATTTTCAATTTCAAACTCTGAGTAGAGTCATAAGCATTTATGGAGAACTATACATGTTGCACAGTTCAAGTTGTTGGATGTGCAATTCCTGGTTGCTAGTCCCTGAGTCCAGTCGGAAATCCACATGTATATAGCATTTGTTATAACTACATGTTATAATAATTAACCTAAGTAGTTAGATATCCTCTCCAGTGATTCTTGTTTACGTAGAAAAAACAAATTTTACCACAATGTTTGATAGGTGGAAATGAATCAGTTTTAAAACTCTGACTGTATTCACATGACCATGTCCTAGTTTATTATCATTTAGTATGCAATTCTGTTGCTCCTCCCTTTGCATGAGTGGCAAAACAAACCAGGAAGCTGCACGTAGCCTTAGTTTCCCATTACACTACATACAAATGGAAATTGTGTTTAATGGCTTCCATCCAATTTTAAACACACCCTATAACAATTTGTATTAAACTGATACCCCACACCCTACAGATTAAATGTTTTGTATGTCACTTTGAGAGAATCTTATAGATAAATTAAATAGAAAATTGACAACTAATCTATGATCTGGAAATATTGTACATATAGCAGACTCTCACTAACAGTGTAATGTTTGAGACATAGGTACGCATATACATATGTATTTAATAACCTGATTTCCATCATCCTTGCGTCTGTATGTGTTTTTGGATGGAGGAGGATTGCAGAACTTGGGCATTACACACAGTGCTGTAAGTTCAAGAGGACTATGGTAGTGGTAGGAGGTGGTGCACATAGAATCTGCCACCCGAACGAACACATACACACTACTCCCAGATTGCAAATGTGTGACTTGGCCATAAAAAGAAAGGGTGTGATTGAATTATATGGAATAATAATTGGCCAGTGTTCGAAACTCCCATTGTTCTAGGCACATTTTGCGACAGGGAATTTCATTAGTGTGAGCAGTTTCTGAGCTCAGGGCACAGTACTGTGCATAAGATTTCAGTTTAAAACTGCAGAGTGGAAGGAAAGGGGGATCTTTTCTGCCTCCCCACTTCCAGCTACTCTCTGAAGTCTGGAGAAGAGACCTCCTTAAGAATATTAGGGGAAGGACTGGACCATGTGAAAAATGAACACAATATTATAGCTGCAGTTCATTCATTTTCAGCTTTTTGTGTTCTTGTTATGAAAAAGTGTGCCTAGACATTCTGTTTTGGCACCCATAACCTAGGTTTAAGGTGCCATTTAGCCCCTAGCTTTCATATCTCAGTTTCTAACACTGTAATTAGCTTATGCTTTCACTAAAAGTTATTCTATCCTTTAGTCCTTTTAACACAAGCCAATGAAAAATAATTAGAATAATTACTTTTTCTAAAAAGAAAAAGAAAAAAAGATTGGAACTTTTCAGCATACAATACCATAAAAAACTAAAAAAAATTAGAATATTTTTTTAAGGATAGAATATTTACACCATCTGCAATCATAAAGGATAAGGGATTACAAATAATGTTTAGCCAGCTTTGTAAAAATCAAGAAAGTCTACATTTGTTGAGTGTGGTGCTTAAGAAATGTTTTGAAAACATAATTCTCCCAGAGGCTGAGAATGAATTGCAGAGAATGGAGGAAGCAGTCTGTACCCTCTACAGTTAGAACTTCTTAGAGCTTCCATTAAATGCAACATGGAATGAAAAATAACAGAAGTTGGACTCACATTGCTGTGCTTGCTGTGGTTCAGTAGTTGGTTCAGAACATTTAAGTTTTCAGTTGTTATAATCTGGTCATTGATGTTGACCTGGGCCAACTTCTTGAGTTGGTAAAGACCACCTACGAGATGCTCAGATCACACAATGGCCAAAGGTGGCCAAAGTGTAGATCACAAGACATGTAGCTGACCCTCTCATTGTTGCAGTACAGCCAGTACACAATTATCTGTGAAAATGTGTGGCACCTCGTACTAAATTTGGATGACTTGGGAAAGTGTCTAGGAATAAGCAGCTGTGAGCCTCAGAGGCCAGATTTGGCTCCTGAAGGTAGACTATCTCTTTAATTGTCCACTCAGAGGTTTGATGAAAATTCTAGCTCCCATGTTTTCCTGCAGTGATACAGTAAATATGTTCTTTTAAGAGGCCACCAAGAAGACATAAAGGAAGCTTCCTTATACTGAGTCAGACCAATATGACATTAGATACCTGACAAGTGACTTGTTCCACTCACCTGTCTAAGGTCCTTATGCAGTGCTTCTGAGTTGTCCATCAGCCAGCTGGTTGTCAGGTATTTGCAACAGCTTTGGGTTCAAACTTGTTTTCTGAAGGTGTCAGCTGCATAAGTCAGTTCTCTACTAAAAAGCTAGGTTTTAGCAGCAGTTTCAATACAAACTGTTTTGTGCTATGATGATAACAATAATAATAATTATTTATACCCCGCCCATCTGGCTGGGTTTCCCCATTTACTCTGGGCGGCTCCCAATCAAATATTAAAAACACAATACAGCATTAAACATTAAAAACTTCCCAAAACAGGGCCACCTTCAGATGTCTTTTAAAAGTAGGATAGTTGCTTATTTCCTTGACATCTGATGAGAGGGCATTCCACAGGGCGGGTGACACTACTGAGAAGGCCCTCTGCTGGGTTCCCTGTAGCTTCACTTCTTGCAGTGAGGGAACCACCAGAAGGTCCTCGACGCTCGACCTCAGTGCTGAACGATGGGGGTGGAGACGCTCCTTCAGGTATACAGGACCAAGGCCATTTAGGGCTTTAAAGGTCAGCACCAACACTTTGAATTGTGTTATTGATGGGGGCAGGAAAGTGTCTTGCTCCACCAAAGGAACAATTGGGAACTCATTAAGCCCCTAATAGTTCCTTAGTAGCCACATTGGTACCTGCCCCACAACTGATGTCACATGTGATCTATTCCAGGCCAGATTTTGCCCATGACCTGGAGGCATAGCTGTCAACCTTCCCTTTTTTTGCAGGACATTCCCTTATTCCAGCACCGTTTTCCGCTGCTTCCTGCTGCTATCCTGGATTGTTAGATATCCCATAGACTGTCCCCGGGACAGGTGAGGCTGCTGATCCCTTATTTTCGAGGCTGCTGATCCCTTATTTTCAAATCTGAAAGTTGACAGCTATGCCTGGAGGTTCCCCACCCCTGGTTTGAACTGACTAGCAGCAGCTTTCCAAGGTCTCAAACAAGGGTCCTTCCCAGCCCTATCAGGAGATGCCAGGGACTGAACATGGGAACTTTTCTATACTGAATGTGTGCTCTGCTACTGAGCTACAGCCGTTCTCCCCAATAGGAAGTTAAATCTTACCTATTTCTAAAATGTGTGTGTGTGTTTTGTTTAGTTTTTTTGGAAAATGTATATAAAATACTGCTCAAGATTACTGTTTTTAAACAGTGTCTTAGGGTCCAAGACGCGGGTGGCGCTGTGGGTAAAACCTCAGTTCCTAGGACTTGTCGATCGTATGGTCGGCGGTTCGAATCCCCACAGCGGGGTGAGCTCCCGTCGTTCGGTCCCAGCTCCTGCCCACCTAGCAGTTCGAAAGCACTCTTAAGTGCAAGTAGATAAATAGCGGGAAGGTAAACGGCGTTTCCGTGTGCTGCGCTGGTGCTGGCTCGCCAGCTGCAGCTTCGTCACGCTGGCCACGTGACCCGGAAGTGTCTTCGGACGGCGCCAGCTCACGGCCTCTAGAGCGAGATGAGCACGCAACCCTAGAGTCGGACGCGACTGGCCCGTACGGGCAGGGGTACCTTAGGGTCCAAGAAACTAGTCTCTTAACACTTTGGAAAGATGAATGGGCAGGTGCAGATTAGGGTGGGATCAGTGTGCCTTAAGCATGAGGTCTCCTGTTTTTCAGAATGTTATCAGCTTAAAAGAGAGCACACCACAGAGTTCACCCTCAAATCACAAAACTTAAAGGACAAACCACACCACCTGTGTACTATTCAGCACATGACACGCAGTGTTTCACCCCTGAGTTTCAGTCTTTTCTGACTTACATTTAACAACATATCTAAATTACAATGTTGAATCAATCTTTTCTAAGGTGGTTCCACATTTGGAAAGTACCTTGCTAACCTGGAAAATCTGAATGGTTGTGAGGAAATGTAAAATAATGAGCCGTTTGATAAACTAGACCCAGTAAATGTTTAACTTTGGAAGTACCATTTTTATTTATGTCCTTGAACTGTTCTGTTTAAAGACAACTACAATAGATGGAAATAGCGATGCCAATGAGTTTTGCTTTTCTCTTAATACATTACTTTTTAAAACTAGCAAGTGAAGCATTTTCCAAATGGACTGTGATTGTGGTGGGGCACCAGCAAAAGGTCATTTCTTCTCTTGGTGAGCATTTAGCTTATTGCCTTTCTTCTGGAATTTTGCTGCATGCTGTTTCTGTAGCCACTTGTGATTCCTCCGTCTGCTTGTAAATTGAAAATCCTCCGACCTTGCATGAAAGAAACTGCCAAGGCAACTGTGTTTCACCAGTGTCTCAAGTTTTTGAGTACATGAATTGGATTATGTATGGTGCGGCTTTACTTAACTTCTTATTCTTTATTTTGTGGGCACAATTTGTGCTTAGCTACTCTTAATTGTGTGGATTATAAACACTTAACAAAAATAAGTTAGTGAAAGTAAACTTTTCCACAAGTTAACAGCCAGGTTAAGAGCCACAGATTCTTTTTCATATATGTGGAAATGTTAGCACTTAAGTATCTATTTAAGAAGAGATGGTTATAAAACCAACACAATAGAACCAAATCAGTTATGCTTCTAAGAGGCAGTGCCATGTCTGCACCTTGAGAGATTCTATGATCAGAATAAACATGCTGGTTACAAGTTCCTTTTTCAGTACCCCTCTTGTGTTCCCACTTTCTTGGTCTACTTCATGCATCTGGTGGGAAGTTGGTTACTGCATATAAAAGTTTACTCTGGCTTTTTGCTGTTTTGCTCTGACTTATTTTCAACTTCCTTGTGCAGCCATGACAACTAGAAACGATCTTAAAAGTTGAAAGAGTCAATAAGTCAATTACTGTGCTGCCCAGTGCATTTGTAATGCATGGGATACACACTTCACTGCCAATAGAAAATGTCTCTTGCTAGATGATAAGGACTTTGCCAGACCCAGCCAATGATTCCTGTAGGCATGTGTTTTGTTTCCAAGAGTGGACAGCCATGTGCTTCTGGGAAACTTGCCTGAAGGCAATGGCTCCTCCCTGTTGCTTGCCCCACCCATCACTTGAGATATATAAAGGTTTTATTTATCTAATGTGACCAGTAACTGTTGATAGATCTATCCCCCATGAATTGCCTAGTCCCTTTTTAAGGCCGTCTGGCCATAACCATATATTTTACTGTGTGCACAATGGGGGAATGGAACTAGGACTAGGCATGCTTGCCTTAACACATAATGACACGACACTTATTTCTATGTTCTTATGCCATCCTCTGGGTGTACATAAACCTTCTCTCTTGTTTTTTGAGGGCGAGGTGATTCTCTACTTTGTGTGTAGACTTTCCAGCCAGTAATTTTGTGGACAAAATTTCAGTTTGTGTAGCTGTAGAGGTGCAAGTAGTGTTGGAAGAAATAATTTAGGTCCAGCCATGGAACTCCATCCTAAGGGAAGTCAGGCAGTTCTCTCCCCCGCCATCCCCACCACCCCTTTCTTGTATTCAGCAAACATGTAAATACTTATTTGGCCAATAGTTTTATGAAGGATAGTACTGCTTTTAACATCTGTCTGTGGTGTGTAGTTTTGAATTGCTTTTACATAATTTTATTGTGAGCTGCCATAGTCTCCTTTTGGGAAGGAAGAGTGGAATATAAATTTGGAATAAATTCACTTTCTAGATGTCAGCTTCAGCCTAAGTGTTGGGTGGCTTTGTCACAAGCCCTTTTTAGCCTGGGCGCTTTCTAACTTTCGATGCAGATCTACATATTTATATATCCCTATGCATACACACACAATTGGCCTCTAATGGGAAGATCAGCTTTATTTTGAAAGTTCACTTGCATTGAGTATGTAAAAATAGATCCTTGTGTCATCTTCACATGAGATGTCAGACTTGTATGGGTTCTTTCCACTGCCACTGCAAGTATGTATAGAGTTTACACATTTTGACTCATGTGAAACTACAATGAAACAGTTGGAGCTAGCTGAGACTTCCCAGTAAATACATGGGGTTGATGTGGGATTGGGACACTATGTATTCCAGACCCAAGTTCCGTTATCCCATTATACGGTGCTATCTCTTTAAAAGAAAAGCAGGTGCATTTATTCTTTCTGCATCTAAATTTTGAATAAATTAATGTTAAAGCAACACACCATATTGTCTCTTGTTGTATTTTGCATTTTTAAATATTGGCAAGCCCGAACTATTTCAGTTCAGTTTCCTGCAATTTAAGGGGGGGTGAGGGAGAAATCTGATTGACATTGGCAATGGCCCAGTTCACACATCACGGTAAGCCATAGTTAATTGCTTACCGTGAATGAGCAGCATGCTAGCATGTACTGCCTGATTGCTCCCATTTTGCTCTTCCCCAATAGCATTTGTGTTGGTTGTCCTTGCATCCAAATTGGAGGTCATGGTTTGTTTCTCCCTGACAAACAGTTATCATTAAATCATGGTTTATTCTTGGCTTCCTGATCATGGTTGTTAGGGATAAACAAATGATAATCCCAGTTTGGACATAACAGCAGTCCAGGCTTCATGGCTTGTTACTCCTTCTTGTGGCAAAGGAGCAACAAGTGGAGTGACTGGGCACCATGTACCCTGCTTGCTCACAGGGAGCCATTGACCATGGCTTCCTGTGATGTGTGAACTGGGTTTGAGAAATACTTAAACCAGAGGTAAGGGCTGAAACAACAACATGGTGCCTTCCCAGATATTTTGAAATTGCACTCCCATAAGCCACAGGCAGTAGTCAGGAGTGATAGGGACTAGAGTCCATAGTATCAAATGAGTTCAGGTTGTATGGTTTAGCTCTGTCTCCCATGCATATTGTGCACAATATCTTGTAGGCATAGTGTGCCTACGACAGTGTAGGTTGCTTGTGAAAGTGAGCAGGAATGTTGCCAAGCTTGTAGGAAGCTTGTAGGCCAGACTTGCACTGAAGGCATTGGGGGAGCCATAGTTGAACAGCTGGGCTACAGTTGAGCAACTGTTGTGCAGCTCTGGATGGAGGAACTCTTGTCCTTTCAGCAAATAGCTTGATAAAGAACCAAATGTTGTTCTTTTTCCTGGCTTTGCTGCTATAGCATGATATTGTTTAAAAGAAATAAAATTAAGCTTCAGTTTGGGGGAATCATATGTCATGTAGATGGTTATTGATACTGAATAATGTTATCTGATAACAAAAGTACACATTTTGCTTGCTGTTTCTCACTGATTAGGTCAGTTGCTAAAAAGAGAAACATTGCTTGTGAATTTTGCAGAGTGGTATAAAGCTTGAAGCAAACATCCTTGGGACTGGTGTATGTGTCATTGTATGCTCAAATTATTCCCCTCCCGTTCTTTTTTCCGTTTATTTGTGTTAGGGATGAGGAGAGAAACCAGTATAAGAAAAGTGAATGTAAAATGAACCCATATTTTGGAAACTCCTATTGCTGAGAATATGCAGCAGTTTTCAGTGTTGTTTTTGTAAGATAAATATAGCATACCACAGTTCAACATGGAAAATTAATACACGCTTTAAAAGCATCTACGTATATATGCAACAACTCCAGAATGGGAAGCGGGATCTCATTTATATGCAGTTCCAAAGCAATCCAATATTTTTAATATAAGCAAATAAAGTATATATGTTGCATTCTTGCCATCACCATCTAATGATGTTGGAAATCTTTCTGGTAGCCATGTCCCCTCCCAACCTTTACTAAGCATTTCCCCATGTGTTTTCAAACTTTTGTCATTTGCACTGAGAGCTAGAAACTTTTCTTACTGGTATTGAAAACGAAAATTTTAGGCTTAAATAGCATATGTGCCTAGCATTCTTCAAGGTATTGTTTTTTGAAATTCTGCCCAGAGAAACTGGGGGGTTCCTGAACGAGAAAATCAGTAATGTTGGGAAATCCTCCCTGAAATGTGTGTCGCCTACAGAAGTCGGACACAGTCGCAATTCAAGTGGGCTGATGGCGAGGCTGAAGTTCCTCAGCAAAGATGTGGAAAATGTTCTCTGAAGGTGGAAAGTTTGAAAAACCACTGTAAGCAATTTAGTTTTGTGAGCAGAGGTGCGATATGTTAAAGCGTTCACCCAAATGTAGGATGCAACAATGGGGGCAGAAATGCTATTTTGCTATCTCTTGCTTTCCTGTGATTGTTGAATGAAAGTTAGCACCTTAAAGTTTCTAGTAGACTTTTCATTCTGCAAACAACTTACTAAATCAGGCTCCATTTCTTCTCCCTGATACTTTTTAAAGGAAGCACTGATGTTTAGGTTTTAAAGCATCGTGTAAAAACAGGAAACTTTTTAAAAGAATACCATAAAGTAGAATAATGTGGCTGTTTTTGCAGGTATGCCATTGGCTACTTGACTTCCAGTTCTTGCCAGCATGTAGCTGATGCAGGAAGACACAGATTTTTGTCAACCTTCATAATCCCCTCCCACAACAATAAGGGGATAATGATAATGGTTTGTGTTAAGATGGAACGACACCTTACACTCAGCATAATGCTGCCTCTGAAAATGGCAGCTCTGTTGAGTTCTCTCTCCCCTTCTTTCACATTTAGGCCTGTTTCCCTGTGTGGTAGTGACTTCTTCATTTCATGTGTTTCCATGCCAGTGGCAACCAGTGTTGCAGGCTGGTGTATAGCACCATATGATGATATACTACACAAAGAAGTGTGCCTAAACTTCTGCAGAGAGGGTGTGGTGGAGAGAAACTTGAAGTGGGGCTGTCACTTCTGGCACTAGCACCATGTCAAAGAGAACATGGCATCTTCCTAGAGTTAACAATTCCGGAGGCAATGTATGTGAAGTGCTTTAAGAGCATCAGTAAGGCTGCCCTGCCCTGCTCTGGTCAACCTATTGCTTGACCTAGTAAGAGAGGATTGAAGCACTTTAGTCTCAGGGACACTCTGTGCCAATAGGCAACTTAGAAAAACAAGTACACATTTTCAACTATGTTAGAGAATAGCTACGAATAAAAAGGTTTGATTTATGTCCCCCCATATTTCCTAGACTCATTATGGGAAAAAGAAATCAAACTTCTTCCTCTCTTCTCCTGCTCCACACATTTTGTGCCAGATACTTTTACTTCAGTCCCAAACTGATTCTGTTCCATTGCTGTTCTGTTATTTTTTCTGAATGTGATTCCCGCCCCCCAGATGTATCTTTAAAATAGTTTGATCTTTTATTTTTTTGTGAGATATACCATAAAAAACACCCAAATTGTGGTATAACTGATAGCGAACATTTTTTCAAGTGACTGGCATGTTTTATTCTTTTTCTCTCCCTTTAGCACAAGGCAGAGGTTAAATAGATTGGGATGCAAAATAGCTACTGAGAGGGGGAAATTGCAGGGTGATGGGATCATATATTGATTTTGCTTTTTGAGTGAATTATATTGCTGCTTGAAAGGAGAAAGTCCTGCCTGGTTCTAGTGTGCTAATATTGAAAGATCAGTTACATAAGAGATTCCTGCCAGGACAGAGCAGATCTGGGGGATTAGTTTGTGTGTCCTTAAATCAAGACTTGCCTTCATGTTGGGAAAACATATAGGCACGCCTTTCAATCGCTGATGTTCTTAAACATTTCTAAGCATCTGAAGGCAAACAATGTTAATTGTTAAAAGAGATATAAACCCCCTAGTAAATTTTATGCCAGTATGTGTGTTCTCTTGTCAAGGAACAGTCTCTTAACCCTTTTATCCCCTTTAGGAGAACACTTCCACATACTAGCTTATTTGCTGAGGACCCCTCTGTTGCTGAGCATTCTGGGGCTGGGACAATATCCTGAAATGTTCTCAGTTCACCTGAGATATTAAGCCATTATTTCTTGCCATCATCCCACAAAAACTGTGTGTGCTGTAAAATACTATGCAGTTTAATTTTACTGGGGGAACTGGTAGTGGTGGGCAAGCTTTCTGGGAAGCTTGGTCATCATTCTTGTTCTTCTGTTTGAAAATTCCAGATAAGCCTTTGCTTTACATAAAAGGCTAGAAAATAAAATATAAATGTCTGATGGAAATCTGATGTGAAAATCTGGAATAATCTCCCATGGACAGCGCAAGAACATAATACAGTGGGACCTCGGGTTACATACGCTTCAGGTTACAGACTCCGCTAACCCAGAAACAGTACCTCGGGTTAAGAACTTTGCTTCAGGATGAGAACAGAAATCGTGCTCTGGCGGCATGGCAGCAGCAGGAGGCCCCATTAGCTAAAGTGGTGCTTCAGGTTAAGAACAGTTTCAGGTTAAGAACGGACCTCCGGAACGAATTAAATACTTAACCCGAGGTACCACTGTAGAACTATGATGCCAACTTAAAGATGGACTAAAAGTAATTTTGGAAGGTGTATTTTGGGTCATCGTCTATATGATTCCTGAAGGTTTCTTCCCCCACCTCATGGACAAGGTGTTTGCACTGGTGTGGAAGTACATGTATCTTGCATGAGCAGGTTGACTGCTCAGTACAACGCAATGTAAGTGCCATGCCCTGCTGCATGTACCACCACTATGCAGAAGTGTCTTTTGGATCCCCCAGGGTGGAGCAGAATACACAAAGTGGCCCACTGGGGTCGGAGCACAATCCACACCACCATATATGACTATGTATTAAGTTATTTCCCTTCCTCAGAGGCCTAATTACGGTAGATTCTGCAGTGAGATGATATGTTGGGTGGTGTGGTCTTGTCATTTGGACCTGTTTGCTCTGCAGGTGCTTTTCTGTTGCAAGCTTGCTCTGGCCTGCTGTGATATAGATTGCATCAGTAAACAATGTGCTTGCAGCTGGTGGGGGTTTGCCCTGCTTTTGTTGCCCGGGATCAGGCTGCATATTGCCTTGGTCTTTTCAGCTCCACATGAATTATCTATTTGGTATATATTATGGAAATTGCATACACGTGGCAGCATAACTTATTAGGGTTGTCAACTAATTGCATATTTGAGTGGATTGATTACATTTAAATAAGTATGTTCTAAAGAAGCTGCGAGCGATCTTTTATTTTCTCAAGATATTGCAGATGCTGTGCCATTAGGGAGTATTCATCAAAATCCAGTCTTAGAAAACTTAACCAGTCCTAGCTAACTTCTGATTTTTCCTTTTCTTTTATACCAGCAGAATTTATTGTTCTCCATGGAGTTGTATCTGCAAACTTAAGTACTAATAATTTTCCACAATAGAATTATTTAGCACTGTGGTTGCTATTTTTTTAAGCAATAGGTTGTTGCTTTACATAGCATAAGCCAAGGTCCAGATGCTAGCTGCCCCAGGACCACGGCATTCTCAACATTCTTTGGGGAGTGGAGCACTCTTCCCTTTCTCGGCCTGAGTAAAAGTCCAAAATAAACCCCACCACACACAATAGATCATAAGTCAGTGGGAATCATACCCACTTATGTTAGAATTGTTCCTGGCCCCCAGCCATTTCCCATTACGCCACTATGCAGAAAGATTGCTTTCTTTAAAAGTCTGAATGAAAACAATCTCTGGTTTTCTTCTCCCCTCTATGCAAACTTAGGAAGGTATATTTAACACAGTCATTTCAAAAAACCAGCTGTGGAATTATCTTCTGACTATTATTAAATTTTCTTACTTACTTACAAACTTAAATTTTCTCTGGCCAATCCAGGCTTTTGTCCCCTGTAAAAAAACTAGTATACAATCTCCTCCTGGAGTTTCTTATCACTTCTCAGGTGAAGGCAAGAAAGAGGTATCTTCTCCTTTGGGATATTCTCTTCCATCTAAACATGAGGCAGGGCCAGCTGAAGATTGGCTTCTCAGGAGGGCTCTTCAGTTTCACTGATAGGCTCTGCCTAGCAGCTGTGAGGCTAGGTCTCAATTTGTTCTGAAAAAGTGCTGATTTCTGTATTTCCCCCTTTTAATTGTTGTTTTCTTCTTCTTCTTCCCTTCTGACATAACTGTCGTAAATGAGGAAGTACTTACCTTATGAGCAGTACAGTCATGGAGCTTCAAGTTCCTACCAGACTGCAATTCCAAACAATTCTGTGCCTGATAGCAGCTCTTAGGAAGTTAGGAGAAATGTACCACCTCTTCGCATCCATTTCATTAAAAGTCTTTGAAGGGATAATGCTAGGGAACACTTGTTTCCTAGCTAGAATGTGAATTGTATTCTCATTTTACATTTAGGAATGTCTTCTGTTTCTGTGGCCATCGTGCTATCAAAAGATACTTAAGGCAATATTTCTCAAGGTCATCAGTGAATTGGAAACCTTTTCCTCCCAGACCTAAGCTAGGGTGATCTGAAGTTCATATATATCATTTATAAACTTTTTCAAAAAGCATCATACAAAGCAGTCAATTTACCATCAAAAATGTTAAATCGACAACAACATTGAAAGAGCATAACAATATACAACCGTAACAAGTGTCTGCAAGCCAAGAAATGTTAACTTAAATGCCAAACAATCTAGTTATTTATTTTTCCGACATATTTGCTCTGACAAAAGACCCACAGGGCTCAGTAGAATTTAATACATGTGTATGAGTACTGTACTGAGATTGCAATCTTGGTGAACAAAAATATCTGAATTAAAATAGTGGAATGTAGGCTTTTGGGGAGACTGTTTTACAATGTAGGTGCTATGGCAGAGAAAGCTCTAATGTAGCCTTCTCCAGCCCTTCAGATACTGCTAACTAAAACTCCCATCAGCTCCAGCCAAAACAACCATTCCTAATCTGAAGGAATCAGAAGAATCATGTGGGTTAATAAACTCCCAAAAGTACACTGCTTGGTCACAAATGCAAAATGTAAGATCTTTCTGAAAGGTACTGTATATAAGAATAGAATCTGTGGAGAAGTCCTTTGTGTCTTCTCAAGCCTCTTAAGAAAATTTTAGGAATGAAGGAGAATTGTGGGAAGGCTTTGCATTTGCTCTTCATGTCCCAAAGCCATCTGAGGACCTTTGAAATGTGAACTCTACAGCTCCTCAAGACAGTTCTGCTTCTAACATGTCTCTTAATTTCTTTCTAGCTTCCAAAATGTCCACAGATGGGGGCTTTGGCTCAGGAGGCAACAGTGATGCCCAGCAATGCCTTCAGTCTTTTTGGCCTCGGGTCATGGAGGAGATTCGAAATCTAACAGTGGTAAGTTATTCCATTAAAAAAACCAACCCAGAACTTTCAGGTGATATTTGCGGCATTATTGAGGAGGAGTTATTGTTCACTAGATTAGTGAACAATAACTCCTCCTCCTCCTCCTCTACAAGGGATTGCTGATTATTATGCTGCCTTCTCAAGGGGGGTGGGGGGTGGGAAAAGATTGAATTTCTGATTTTTTTGGTAACTGTGTCCTTCTTACCTCCAATAAACTCAGCAATACAAGCAGGGGGCCATAGAACTATAGAGTTAGAAGAGAGCTCGAGGGTCATCTAGTCCAACCCCCGGCAATGCAAGAATGTCAATTAAGCATCCATGACAGATGGTCATCCAACCTCTGCTTAAAAATATCTGATGGAGGAGAGGCCACCACCTCTCATGGGAGTCTGTTCCACTGTCAAACAGCTCTTACTTTCAGAAAGTTCTTCCTGATGTTTAGTCAGAACCTCCTTTCCTGTGCCTTGAAGCCATTGGTTTGGGTCCAACCCTCTGGAGCAGGAGAAAACAAGTTTGCTCCATCTTCCATGCAGCATCCCTTTCACAAGAGAGAATTGCTTCCTGTGCTGCCTTTTTGCAAAGCTTTGCAGTACAGAGAAGATTCTACGAGGGACCACATCTGTAGAGTTGGATTCTGTGTAGGGGCAAGTCTATAATATTTGCCTTTCCAGGGGTATGATTTGCTCAGTTCTCTTACTGAATAGAACACGAAGAAATGCAGTGTTTTGTGTGTGTCCAGTAACAGAACGTAGCCCCATGCCTACCCATAGAACAGGGGTCAGCAAACTTCCTCAGGGGGCCAGTCCACTGTCCCTCAGACCTTGTGGAGGGCCGGACTATAATTCCTATGCACACTGCGAGGGGGGCAAGTAGTCCTCCTCCCCACCCCCAGCCCCATCCAGCCCCAGCTGCCTTCTTGGTTTGCTGCCTGCCTCATTCGCCGAAGAGCTGGTGGCAGTGGTGCCAAAAGGCTTCCTCCCCGCCTAGAGAAAGAAGGCGCTGCGCTTACCTTCCCAGGGGCTGCCGCCACCGCCGCTTCTCGTGAAGCGGGTAGGCAGAGGAAGCTCGTCCGTTCCACTCTCTGGCCCACAGGAGCACCAGGGTGGCGGTGGTGGGAGGAAGAGGCCAAGCGTCGGCGGCTCTGCCAGTCAAACACCACTGAGGTAAACCAGGCGCGGTGTTCCTCCCATCGCCATCACCAGGAGTTGCAGGTTCCGGCTTTGCTGCATGGGCCGGATTTAGGACCCAGGTGGGCCTGATCCTGCCTGGGGGCTGTAGTTTGCCGACCCCTGCCATAGAACTACAAGAGACACATATGTTCAGGTCAGAAAATGTATTGTTTGCCTTTGTGGGTGGGTAGGGTTGTGCAGCTGAGGTGGATGGCAGGTATCTGGTCTTCTGTACAGTTTTCCGTCATTCACCATTCCTTCATGCTACCTGCAGTCCCACAGAAGTGATTGTGCCTGTTGTAGATGCCTCACTTAGGTGGAGTTGTCATCTGATTGCCACCCAGACTAAGCATGGACATTCATATCTTTAGCTAGCGCATGTGATTTTCTTACATTTTATTTATTTCTGTTTTTAATTTATTGAGCACCTTCCCATTTTTTTTAAAAAAGCTCAAGGTGGCAAATTTGAAATGAGGAAAATACATAGAACTAAATGTTAGTCATTTTTAGCTACAATAAATACTAAATGTGGCAACACACAGGCTTAAATGCCGGAATAAATCAGCCTGTTAAAATCAGACGGTAAAAGCATTTCCAAATAATAAGGTCTTTGCTTTCTGGAGGACTTGATGTAATGAAGAGGTCTCTCTTGGGAGGCTACTTCACAATATGTGTGGGATCACTGAAAATAAATGGGGCCCATGCCTTCACAAATCGCATCTCTCTAATAGAAGCTCAGTGGTGTGATGCATGTTCAGAGGAATCTTGGAAAAGAGGAGTAGACAAATTTGCAGAGGTTAGGTTTTTTAGTGCCTGTTAATCATGATGGTCAAATGAAATCGCGAAGGTGAGAGGCAGTGAGCCTCTGAATACCAGTTAGGAGGGCACAATCTGAAGGGCTTTTCTGGAGCATCTCCATGCTGCAGTGGATGGACCAAACAGGACTCTTGCATTCAGAAAGTTTTTCATATGGTTCATTGGCCTGAGGTCCAGTGCCTTTTATAAATTTGTGAAGGAACTAAACTCATAACATAGTTGATTTACAGGTGAATAAGACCCCTTTAGAGACCTGCATCGCCACCAATTGGATATAATTCTCCATTTTTTGAATATTTTAAATTAAGACACATCATAAATAATCAATTGCAGAAACATACACATCTCTGAGAAAATTCTAAATTTGAATGGTTAGTTACCATGCCTCCTACAAATCTGGTAAGTAAAAACTATACTTTGATTCCCAGTCAGGAGTACAATACCTTTTAGACCTTTCTCCCACTTCTTTTTAAATCAACAAATTTATGAAGAAGTTTGGACCTGTTTGTTGAAGAATTTACCTTAGAGAGTAATCAGTATTAGAGTGATATAATTGTAAATAAACCCTAGAGCCCACCTTGGAACCAGCAGGCTAAAGATAAATTTCCCATTTGGATCTGATGCTTAGAGCTGCCTTTTTGGAGGCCAGTGGAAAGATATTGATGCATAAAAATCAGAATTAATTATGTTCCTTTAGTAAACATAGCTCTGACATGTAGGAGCTGCAAGTCTGAGATTTCATCTCATTGGTAAAACGTCTTCTGCAGCTTTCCAAAAAGGGGCAGGTTTTTGGTGTGGTTTTTGGGGGGTTTTTTAGTACTCTGATCACGTGATTCAATTTATTACACTGTGAATGAACAAAACATTGAATGTCAAGCTATAACCCTTCTGCCTGAGTGGAAATTTTAATAGGGACTGTGGAAGAAAGATAATTACAAAAAAGCCCTCTACAGCTATACTCTGTTTATAATCATTGCTGAAATTACGTTTTGTACAGCCAGTCCACTAAATGTTCCTCTATGCAAATAGAGGTCCTGATTTGCCTGTACTATGCAATTGGCGGGTGTACAAAATGTTCAGATTCTGCTTCTGTTTGATGTGACCTTGGTGTCTGTTGTTGGGCTATATGTATCCAATGAAATCAATGGGCCCAAGTCCCACTTCAGTCATATGCCTGATCTGGGTGTGAGACATCGAGGCATTGGTTTGTATTTCATGCTAGTCCTGCTCAGAGTAGACCCATTGAAATAAGTGAAAATGACAGTGTTCAATTCTTTAATTTCAGTGTGACTACCGAGTCAAATTGAGTTGGATACAACTCTTACTGATGGTATCCCTCTTGGCTGTTCGGAGAGATCAGTAGAAGAAAAACTTTCTTTCTTTCTTTCTTTCTTTCTTTCTTTCTTTCTTTCTCCCATATTTTTCTAGCTTAAGGAGACTACTTACACATTGGAGCACACCTTGTGTTGCAGGGAAGCAGCTGTTTTCAGAGTAACATGTCTGCCATTCTTGATCTTTTAACTGAAGAATGGTTGTTGATGTTCCAAGGAATCCTGGTGTTTCTTGAAATACATTTGGACAACCACTGTCCTAAACCTCTGGGCTGTATTTGACATGGTGTTAATTCCATTATTTGGAATTAACCACAAGGTGTTAATTCCATTATTTGTAGGAGACAGTGGAGATTATGGTAACACAAAGTTTTTGCAATGCACTTTTCCAAGTGTTTCCCATATTATTTTGGTCATCCTTTAACAACCTGCTGAAATAGGCCAACATAATTCTCATGCAGCTAGCATATTACTGTGCTAATTTCTCTCAGAATGCAGCCTGTTGTACATCACGGCTACCAATATGCTGAGTTCTTCAAAGTTGCACATTGTCACCTCTGTAATTTCAACATCTGCAAGAAGCTGCTGGGCAAGATCTTCCTGAGCTTTGGTATGCAGTGTCACCTATATGCTGATGGTGCCAGTGTGTGTGATCTAAGCATTTGGGAGCTTCTTTCTCTCTGGAACCAGTGTTTGCTTTGTTTGTGCACACAAGGGTTGACAGTTGAATCCAAGAACAGTGCAGATAAATGTCCATCGAGGTCAAGAGGTCTCCTGCCACTCAGTTCTTTTCACAGACTGCTTACTTGATGGCTGTTCTTCTCAAATGATCTTGAAGTTTCAACGGGCGTGAAAAGGCATCACTGGTGAAAAGTGCAGAATCATGGGTGTCTATACTACATACAGTAGCAGCTGTACTGACCTTTTAGATTCTAGGCCCACTTCAGAGGGCAGTTGTTGGATCTTTAAAGATCATATTGCACCCTGGACCCTGCATAACTGGGAGTGCCCCTATATTAATCCCGATGGTTGTTAAGATCTACTGGTGAGGTTCTGCTTAGAAACATCTCTTCATAAGCAGTCGCAACAGCTGGAAGATAAATCAGAATCTCTTTTGTACTTTTATAGTGACCCTGAAGCTGTAGAAATTTTCCCTTGAACTTTAGAAATGCCTGTCCACTCTGACCTTGGGGGTGGGGAGATAACAGAACATAATTTATTAGAGCAGGATTCATTTTTAGGATAACTAAGAGTTGACTTTGCTGCTGCTAAGCCTGTTTTGTTTTTGCTTTTTTGAATTGGGTAATTGTCAGGTGCCTTTCCTAACAATCCCTGTGGATATTTTGATTTTATTACAGAAGCCAAACTGTCCTTTTCAGATCTGTGGGTCACTTGCATAACCATAGCAATGGCACTCTAATGAAGGGGAGCAGGAGCAGCTCCAAATGTTAAGTGACCACATTTGTCCTCCCTCAGGGCAGTCTTTTCAACCTGGTGCCCTCCAGACGTTTTAGACTGCAACTCCCATCAACCCCAGCCAGTACAGTAGTAGCCCAAAACATCTGGAGGGCACCAGGTTGAAAAAGGCTGCCTAAAGGAAAAATAGACAATCTCCAGTACAATATGTTTGTAAACCAGCTTGTGTTAGCTAATTTTTTTTTTTAGTAGATGGCTTTGACTGTCCTTTTCTAGACTGAATTGTGTGTACCAGAGTGATACAAAGTCTCTTCTTTTCCATTGATCTCTGCAGAAAGATTTCAGAGTTCAGGAACTTCCATTGGCACGCATAAAGAAGATCATGAAACTAGATGAAGATGTAAAGGTAAAATTCCTGTAAAAAATGTTGAGTTTTGACATTTGCAAGTCAATAAATTTGTTCTGAGCATATTTAATATTAAAAAACACATCCCTGCTTGATTCCTCTTCCCAAATTGGTAACAAAGCAAACTCCAGGCACTATTGGATATTCTGGATCACCCAGACCCATTTCAGTCCAGATAAAGGCCAGGGTTTGGCAAAGAGACAACCTTGGTCACCCTGAAATATGACCTCTGTCAGGAAAGAGCTGGGAGTTTACTCCTGCTTAGTTTGTTCTTGATCTGTCAATATCTTCTGATACCATTTATTATGGTTATCTTGCTGGATTGGTTATGTTGGTTGGGAGACGCAGTGATTTTGGTGGGTCCACTTGTATCTGCAGGATTAATTTCAGAACATAGCACTGGGGGATTTATGCCTGACCCCATGGCATTTGAGCTTGTCCTTGCTTTTTCACATCTATATGAAACTGGTGGTTGAGGTCATCTGGGGATTTGCAGTGTCATCAGTATGCAGATAATACACAGCTCTCTTTCTCCTGGTCTTTTGGATCAGGAGAGGCTATGGAAGTTCTGAACCCCTGTCTGTAGACTCAATATTAGCTAAATGAGGTTCAATAAACAGAAGATGAAATGCCTTTTCTGGCATTGTGCATGTAGTTGTGTTTGTGTCTTAAATTGTATTTTTTTATACTTCAGAACGTTTTATTTATATGCAATTTTAACTAAGTAAACTCATGATTGGCTAATACTTCTTTGACTGACAGTTTTATTTTTACTGTATCTGGAAGTGGTGAGGGTTGCACTGAGGCTGACAGTGTGAAATGAGACATTTCCTGTTTGAGAGAGGAAGTTTGTCTGTTCTGCAAATGACTTGGGGAATTGTCATATCCGCTCTTAAACTACAAGGGTGAACAACACAAGTACACCCTCCCTCCCCCCCGCACTAAAGAACACAGAGACCTAACTACCCCTTCTTCTGTAGATATATTATCACTTGCTGTGACATTGCTGGCCTTGAGACCTTGCATCAACTTGGGTTGAAGAGGCCATGAGGTGCTTTTACATGTAACACACATGTGCCACTTCAAGTAGAGCATGTTACAAATGTGATAATACAAAAATGATTTGACATCTCTTTCCTGTACATGAGGAAGACCTCTTTCTGGAGTCTGAGCAGCAAAACTTAAGGGTGTGTGGGGACAGACTTTAGCATCTAGTTATGTTTTTCTATAGTCAGAGTAAATGCACCCTTTCCTTATTAGATGATCAGTGCAGAGGCGCCTGTTCTGTTTGCCAAGGCTGCTCAGATATTCATCACAGAACTGACATTACGGGCCTGGATACACACAGAGGACAACAAGCGCAGGACCTTACAGGTAATGGAAGACTTATTTCTCAGCTACCTTAAAAGTGCCATGGCATCTCCTTCTGCTTTCTGAATATTTCTCCAGTAGGGGCTGGGACAGGGGAGTGGAATGGAGAGTAGACTGGAGCTATTTGACTTGGGCTTGTAAAACCAAGTTGCAGCACCTTTGCTGCAGAGTGGTGTCAGGAGGAGGAGGAGGCAGTTTGCAATGGAGAAGCAGCATTTAGGAACTTAACCCTTCCCCCACTTCCAGACTTTGTTTCCTTTGAAGATATATGTCAGAACCCCATGGTGCTAATGGGTGAGGATAGAGTTGCGAGGAGAAAGTGGCCCTGAGGTGTCTGCATATGTGAGGTGGCTAGTAATATGAAGTTCTGGCCTCTGTGTTCAGTACATGTGTGTCCTGAGAACTTCTGTCGAACCTCCATGTCACCTTTCACCTCCACATGTTTCAGATTACTACAGCAGCAGGGCTGGCTGGGACTGATGGGAGTTGTAGTCCAAAACATCTGGAGGGCACCAGGTTGGCGAAGGCTGCTCTGTTCAACCTCACCAGTGTCATTGCCTTTAGAAGTGCAGCTCAGACTTTTGTCGATGGCTGCCACACTGGTTTGATACTCGGAAACAATTTGAAGGCGAAAAGAATCCCGAATGTCGGGGGGGGGGGGAGTCCGCTTTCTGAAGTGCTCCTCTGCTTCTGCTTTCAGTTAATAATGGTAATAACTGGTTGGCTGCACTAGTGGTTCGCCTTTCCAAAGGTTCCTGAGCAAAATTCATGGGGCTGAATTCTAGTAGTAATCCAACATAATAATCATGGATTTCATGCAAGCTGCACTAAGGACCAAAATAGACATGATGCTGAAAGTTCCATGATCAGATCTCAGGATCCAGAATTCTCCACCCAATTTGAGGGTCAGTTATGGGCAAGTGGACCACCCACGACTCATTATAAAGTAGTTGGCTGGTAGTATTAAATGATGTTGCTCCTTTGTGTGAAGCATACAAGACTTGTGACCTTAACCAGCTGCTGTAGAGTAGCCTTAGGTAGATTTTGAATAACATCCACATAATATTAAATAAGCAGTGCATGTGTCCTTGGGTTGAGTAAACTAGCAAAATTCAAGATATCTCTTATTGATTGACTTTCCACAAGGCTGTGAAGTTTGAGAATAACCTTTCCTTACAGTTCTTCTGATAGCTTCCCACTGCTAAGGATTCGCTTCTTCATTGCCAAGTATCTCTAACGCAGCCTTTCTCAACCTTGGATCCCCAGATGTTGTTGAAGTACAACTCTCATCTTCCCTGACCACTGGTCCTGCTTGTTAGGGGTGATGGGAGTTGTAGTCCAACAACATCTTGGGACCCAAGATGAAGAAAGGCTACTCTAACATCTATGAGGTGCTGTTGCTTGTTAATCTGAGCCTGGTCAATTCCAGCAGTGTACAGGTGGGCAAGGCTTAATGTAACCACCACCTTCTCCTTGTTACAGAGAAACGACATTGCCATGGCCATCACTAAGTTTGATCAGTTTGACTTTCTCATTGACATTGTTCCGAGGGATGAACTTAAACCTCCCAAGCGCCAGGTGAGAGTGAAACAGTCTGTGCCCTGTTTGTGTTTGTTGTCTCTAAAGATTTTGGCGGGGTGGGGGGAGGGTTTGCCAGTATTTTTGCCTGTGCTGATTCCTTCCCCCAAGATCACCATACAACAGACAAAAGTGCTTGCCTAGGATCAAGATGTCACTAGTCTGGAAGCACTGCATTGATTCTAAACTAGCTCTGTTTGCCCCCCAAAACATAAGGGCACATATTCAAATCTCTTGTGATGTTGATGAGATGATGGTGATTTTATTTCATTTATGAATTGCTTCTTACGCAGCACCTGAAGTGATTTACAATATAACCTATATAAAACAATTACAGATATAAAAACAATTGATACAATTGCATAAAGAAAATCAGTTTTAAACAACAAGAGCATTACATGTTAGACAGCTGAGGTCTTTCGTGAGCAGCATTTACCACCCTCAAAATTCTCCAGCCTCCATTATCTACCATTTAGAGAAGTTAGCAGCAAGCCCATCAGACCATCTTGCAATCAGTGTTGATTGCATTGTGGAGGTTGGGGAGATTTGGGACAATTGGCACTCTGTAGGTGAGCTTGGTCTGGGGATCCAAATGGTGCAGTGGAAGCAGCTTCCAGTAGAGCCATTGCTGCCCTCTCTCCTGAGTGGCCAAGCTCCATGGTCAGAGGCTATGGAAGACCGGGCACAAAATACTGGGTACACCTGAGACATTGCCTTTGGGGCAGGCAGATACCTGGAGGTGATGCACATAGGATTGGGGGAAGAAATAGGGATAGTGACTTGAATGAATGGGTAAGACACAAGATCCAGACAGTGGATGTCACACAGAACCGGATTTTAGACTGTCGTATATGAACAAAGTTCAGCTGACCTGCATGGCCACCAGAGTTCACATCTTCTCCTTTAGTGGGGGTGGGAAAGAGCTATTCACTCAGCTTCAACACTCCGCTTTTTGCATATATATTTAAACTGGGTATAGCTAGACTGCCAGCCTATATTAAATGAGGCTTATTCTCAAAACCCTTACCTTTTCTGTCTTGTTGGAGTGACAAATGGTATTGCTGGCGCCTTTTGAGAAGAATAATTGAATGTTTTAGAAATTGTGAAAAGCAGCATGAGTGTTGATTTGAAGTGCTGAGCACACACACATGCACCCTTCTACAGAGGCACAATTGGGCACTTTATTAGCTGCACAGCAGGCTCCCATTACATAAGCAATAACCTGTGCACAATGCCCTCGGTTTATGCCAGGTGCTTAGAGATTGGATACATACAGGTTTATGACACTCTCCTCACAGCCATCTGGAACTTTCATTAAGGTGCTGACATCTGACTGGTCAAAACACCTTGTAAGTGTGCTGGTCAAATAGTTCAAACATTGACTTCCTAGAGCAACAGTCAGAGATAATTATTCTAATTTAGAAGAACCACCGTCTTCCAGAAGACTCCAGTTCCTCCAAGAAGCCGTACAGAGCACCAGCCCAGGCCACACTGAGGGCCCATGTCCTCCCTGCCACAAGGATTGAGCCACCCCAGGAACGTCACATCCCAAATCTTTCTCGGCAGTTGTTGCTCCTGTAAACATCCTTGACTGGAAGCTGTATGGTGCTTGAAGGGGCTTTCAGTCGGATGTTTACAGCGGCAGGCTGCTGCAGTTCTCCTGAAACATAACGGGTTTGTATTGAAGAGTCACTGTGAGGCGACATTTGGGGTTGGAAGCAACTGTGGTGTTAGAGCAGGTTAAGGATCAACACTTAGGTCACAGCTTTACATTAAACCACCCTTAGAGAATATATATATATATAAAACGCCTACAACTATGTTACCATCTTTCTTTACTCATAAATAGACTTGCATTTCTGTACAGATGTTGCTATATAATTTTATTTAATTGAATACTAAGAGCATTTTGTATTTTTGTATCCCACTGTTTTTGTATCCCACTGTTCCTGAAAAATGCTGAAGGCGGTGCCTTATTGTGCCTGTCTTATAGCAGAGACAATGTCTTTGGAAGACCTTCAGAGAGAAGTTTGCAGTAATGTAGCCATCACTGTACATGGGACATTTGCAGTTTCATGAGCAAAAAAGACAGGTCCCTGGCTCCACAGAAAATTATAAACTAAATTTTGACAGTTCAGGAGGCAACAGGAGTGGGAGGAAAGGAAAGGCTGAAGCAAATGAAGCTACACATAATTAGGCTGGGTTACATGAACCAGAGACCTTTAAGTATTCTTAGTAGCAATATTGTCAGCAACCCTTTATTCAGGAGTGGGGAATTGGTTGCTGGACTGCAACTCCCATCATCCTTGACCACTGGCTGTGTTAACTGGGACTGATGGGAGTTGGAGTCCAAACATCTGGAGAAGATCAAGCTGATGGTCTTCTGCAAGTTTATTTACTGTGTGGGAATGTTAGTGTGCAGTTCAAGTGGAGTTAATAGATGGCAGTTGCTAATATCCCCTTGCAGGAATGCAACAAATCACAATTTAGCTTTCTCTTTCAGGGATGCAAAATGCTGTTCCTTTCTGTTAAACACCTTGGATCCAGGGAGATTCTGGGGCCAGCTGCTTCCAAATCAAATCAAATACCTCACAATATAAAATACATCACAATATAAAACTTTTCAAATCACTGGGATAATTAAAAGGACAAGGGTGAAGCTGTCAAGGGTTATAGAATCACACTGTGGTCATGTGCACTTAGATGTTCTGCTACACCCAGTCTATTTCCCAAGGGGGAGGTCTGTTGGGAACCCTTTTGGGTAAAATTGTGACTAAAAATGAGACTACTAGAGCAGTGGTATCTTTGTCCTGATCTGCCAGGAGAACCCTCATTTGATTTCTTCTCAGAGTTGTGGGCCGGAGATCCAACATTTTACTCAGCATCAGTTGGCGAGGTCTGCTATGTAAAGGACAATCTAAGAGAATGTGGTCCATTGAATCTGGTACTTCTTGGTTGCAGGCACACAAACAGACTTGATATGGAGTGTGTGAGAATCTGCCTTTAGTCACTGCAGAAAGGAAAGCTTCCTATTTGGGCAAGGCTGTCACTGGGGAGCTCCAAGATTATCTAAGAGCTTTTACTGGGAAGCTTAAGATAGCCTTGATTCCTCAGCTCTGAGGAAGCTGACTCTCCAGGATTGCTGTAAGGACGGTCTGCTGTCTTTGAAATTCAATCTCTCATCAATACAGCAGCCTCTGCTTCTGTCATCTGACAACCACAGGGAGTGCCTGTTTCTGAATTCCATTCCTGCTAGTACACCATGTATATGGCTGGAATTTTGAAAGCTGCTATAGAATAAACATACAGTAATACTGGAACTATCACCTGCTTTCTGTGATTTTAAAATCCCCCCCACCCGCACTTCAGAATATGATGGATATTATCTCCAGCACAATTGATAACTCCAGCAGGGGCACCATTTCCAGATGTTCTCATTGGGCTGTTTTGGTAATTCTTTTTCCAAAAGATTTTTGTTCTTATGCAAACCACAAGGTACCCTACTGATACCTCCCCTCTTGCATTGTGACTGTGTCATTTTGGGTACATAAGAATTGGCACTCACTTCTGAACCCCGGAACTTGTGGTCCACAGCACATACCAAATTCAATTCCAATATCTCAGTGTGCCGGGGAGAATGTGCATGTTGGAAACACAACTGGAAATGCAGGACAGGTGGTCTGGACCAAAGGCCTCGCTGCCACTCAGCCAGCTGCCAGATTGCAGGGCAGCCCTTGGTTTTCTATCCATAAAGAAAGCAGGTGTGGTGGGAGGGTGAGCTTGCTTAGCTGCAGAGAGATTCCAAGGAAGCTGCTGAGCATCAGAGCAAACGCTAGCTTAATCAGCAGCCCCGGTTCTAGCTGCTTGGGCTGCAACACTCTGAAGATTTTTCTACTTTCTGTCTTTCCCAGGTCAATCCCAAAGCAGACTGTGTTTCAGCTGAGCCTTCACTGCAAACATAGAGTAAGTTAGGTGCCTCAGGAGGCCAAGTGTGGGGAAAGCTGCAGCTCTTTCTCCCTATTGCAATCCAAGGATTGCAACACTTCAGATTCCATGGAGATTTTGTCTAGAATGAAGTCACCCTCAGCATCTTAATAGCTTGCATTCCTAGTTAATATTTTGCAGTGTTCCAGGCAGAAATGGCTTTACATCTACCCCAGTTTGAGTTGGGCCACATCCTGCTGGCAGATACTTGTTTTCAGCCTATCTACTAAGCACTTAGCCACCTCATGTTTGTCACTGGTTTGAAAGCAAACCAGGACCACCGAGAAGTAATATAATGGTTTGTACGTATTTGGTGAGCTCTCTTGGAACATAAGTTTGCAAATTAAAAGATTTTTAGTTTTGTTTTATAAAAAACACAACCAAAACAGCCTCACAAGAACTTTCACCATGTAATAAAAGCTGGTGTCATTAGAAGGGGAGGGAGAAGAAACTAGGTGTGTGGGAAGAAGAGGGAATTGACCTGCTCAAGCTCTTAGCAGTTTATAGTAATGATCCTGGAGGAGGAGGAGGGATTAGGGTTAGGGAGATGTTTACCCTTGGGTTATAAAATAGAATTCCGTAGTTAAACCATGTGCTGCATGAAGAAGTACTTTTGTCGGTCATGAATCTTCCAACATTCAGCTTCATTGGATGTCCACAGTTCCTAGTATTATATGAGAGGGGAAAGAGCTTTTCTCGATCCACCTTCCTCATGCCATGTATAATTTTATAAACTTCTATCATGTCATCTCTTACTCACTCTTTATCTAAATTAAAAAAAGGCCCAATACTGTTACTTTCCCTCATACTCGAGTTGCACTGGCCCTTTGATCATTCTTGTTTCTATTTTTTTTTTTAATCCCTTCCAACTCTACCCTTGAGATGAGGTGACCAGAATTGTACACAGTATTCCGAATATGGCTGTACCATAGATTTGTTTAACAGCATTATTTGGGGTTGATATCTAGTGTGTCCTTCAGAAAAGCGGGGCTGAGTGGGTTGCAGGCATGCATTCTTCTGGCAAAGCATTATCCAGTACTTGCGTTGTAAAGAGAGTTTTCCTCCCCTTAAAGCAATCAACCCTGGATCTACAGAGTGGGACAGACCAATAAGTTTGCACAAGAGATCCTTACATTATGTTGATGGAATCCATTCCAGCCATTCTTGGCGGTCTTGTCTCTTGGCCTCCACTAATCTACAAGACTACTGGCAGGAGGGCTGGGTGACTGTGACTGCGGTTCAGAAGCATAAGTCATTAAAATCCAATCACTGTGCATCCAAAAATGTTTCAGAAACAATGAAAGTTGTACTTGAACTATTCCCCCCCCCCCCAATTATGTATGAGGATAATTGCTTTGTGTAACCTGTTTGTCTCTGATAAGCTTAAGATGTAAAGTTAGCCAGAATAACCCACAGGATCTACAGTTTTGAACACTGGAAGGTGAGGACATCTTCACACCTTCCTTTTTCCTACATGGAGAAAATTTACTCCATGCTGGGGAGGGGGGAGAGCATATTGAAGCCAACTGTGGTTGAACGAAAAAGAGTAATGAATGACTTCTAACCCTCAGATGCAACCAACGCTCCCAAAAAAGGATTTCAACATACTTGTAACTAACTTACAGACTTTTCAGCTTCATATGCATGTCTGTGTACTAGGAACTGGATGTTTGGTGAGCTGCCATTGAACCAGAAGGTAGTTGTGTAACAGCTTTGCAGAACTGGCGCTCAAGTTGGCAATTGAAAGGTGACAAGGGTCCATACCCTGTTTCTTTCTCTACCTTCAAGGATAGAAAGGAAGTCAAAAGAAATTGATTTGCAAGCAGTTTGTGGCGTGTGCTCTACATAGAACCAGAATTTCCCATGCAGCAGCATGTGTAAACATCCTACACTCTCAGCTGTGACTTTGTGGTGGCTGGGAGAAGGTTGTTTACGCCTTCTGCCATGGATTGTTCATCTTCAAACATCTTCATCTTCTACTTCCAAATCATCTCTTACAGGCTGATTCAAAGTGGGGAAGAGAATGCTGTTCTTACACAAAAAAACAACCTGAGCCAGGTTTTCAGCCCTAGATTATCACCATAATTCATTATAATTAACTCACAGCTTTAATAGGGGCCCAAAAGCAGTCTATGAAAGCTTCCTGCCCAAAGGTTACGCTGTTTATTACCCAATGCTGCCCATATCTGCAAGGGGCAGCAACACTAGTCCAGATGGTACAAATAATTTTCTCGGTCTCATGCTTCCGGAAAGGGCAACCCACCCACCTACACCATACACACTCAGACATTTGAGTTACAGAGAAGTTTTCATCCAGCCTGCAGTGGTTATGATCAAGGAGGTATTTCTGCTCTCCAAATCCACCTTGGAGAATTCAGAATGGGAGTGATTTTTCTCCTTCTGGAGTTCATTTAACACCCCACCCTTGCTTCTGGAAGCTCAAGAGTGGCATATGAGAGGTTGTCCCATTTCACCCATACCTAGGTAGATTAGATGGAGAGATGGCAAGGCACGATTTGCCCAGTGAACTTCATAGATGAGCAAGGATTTGAACCCTGGTGTTCCCGTTTTCAGGTCACCATTCTACTGGCTGTAGCACCCTAGATTTTCAGCTAGAGGACTGCCATTTTTTCCACTGCTTGTAGTGACATTCTAGGACAGGCTTCCTCAAACTCGGCCCTCCAGATGTTTTTGGCCTACAACTCCCATGATCCCTAGCTAGCAGGACCAGTGGTCAGGGATGGTGGGGATTGTAGTCTCAAAACATCTGAAGGGCTGAGTATGAGGAAGCCTGTTCTTGGAGTATGAAAGCCCACCCCCTTCTTTAAAAAGTGGGGAAAGTACTTATACCATAAGAGCACTTTTACAGATCCCACCCACTACCCACCGAAAACCTTGAGTCAGCTGGGGATTTCACTAAACTTTGCAGACTTGGAAGATTGTCTCATAGACACACACACCACTTTCTGCTAAGACCAAACCCTTGAGGGATGTCCCATGTATGCAGCACACATTAACCTCTTGTGGCTTCCATTAAATAATTCAAATTACAATGAGCTTGGGCAGAAAGCAGGACTGAATGCTGAGCAAAGTGGCTGATAGATGCACAAAACCAATCAGATATAAGGTATCTGGGTTTGTTTGGGTTTTTTGGTGTCATGTTTTTGTATATAACAAAAAATCAATAAAAAAATTGGGGGACGCACACCATAAGGTTTCTGACAGTGGAGAGACAGGCATTGTTCTCTGATTCCATTGAAGCCCATCATTTTCAGGTCAGTAGGCATAGGCTTGCTGCAAATTACTAAGGATCTGAACATCCCATTCCGAAGCACTGCACAGGCTGCTGTACTGGATATCACAAAGAGGACTTTGGCTGATGAACTCTGCTTTTCCATCCCCTTTTTTTCCTTTGGCACAGGAGGAGGTACGCCAGGCTGTGACCCCGGCAGAGCCTGTCCAGTACTACTTCACACTTGCTCAGCAGCCTGCAGCTGTCCAGGTTCAGGGGCAGCAGCAAGGGCAGCAGACAACCACGTCCACCACGACCATCCAGCCAGGGCAGATCATCATAGCACAGCCTCAGCAAGGGCAGGTTGGTAAATTGCATTCCAGAGGGCTTGTGCTCTGCGTTAGAGGTGGGCTGAAGAGTGCCCCTTGTGTGACTTACCTTGGTACCTTCTGGCCATGCGAAATCGGCTTCACCACACACACCCCTTTCTATCCTCCATACAGGCAAGCAAGAGGCATTATCACAGTTAAGTGATAAACTCCAGCCAGGTGAAAGTGCCCAAGGAGGACACAGCACAGCTAACAAGGGATGTGGTCAGCAAATGGGTGTAACATAGGGAGAGTTCTGAGGGCCAGATGGAAAGGTCTGGAGCAGTGCTATTTTTCCAGAAAAAGAGGTGCCAGAACTCACCACGAACACCTCTCGTTTTCTTAAAAAGGCAATGGTGCCCACCTGAGAGGTGCTGGAACTGAGTTCCAATGAGTTTCTGCTTGAAAAAAGCCCTAATCTGGAGGACCATATTTGGTCCCAGGGTCTGAATTTCCCTAGCTCTGACAGCAGCAGAAACCACAAACGTCCTAGATAATACTGCAGCCCATTCCACTTCCTAGTGGAAAATGCCAGCACTCTGGTGAGTCACCCAGAATTGTGGCAAGATCCTTTGGCTGCTGGATGGACAGTTCTCTGGAAGTTCTAAGTCTAGTGGAGAAGCTTAAGTTGGGCACCTTAGATTATGGGCTTGCAGATGTCTTGAAGTACATTGACATGGGGCTTTGGACCAATAATAGTTTTAACAATAGCAACACCTAAAAAGTGTCACCATCTGCCTATTTGCCTAATTCGTCTGTAATCAAAACCCCTGATCTCAACTAATTTTGGTGTAGATTTCCATTTTTATATGTGGATCATCCCAACGCATGGCTCATGGGACTCAGGTGTTCATTGACTCTGTTCCTGTTGGTGGACTTCGGGGTTCTGGCAGAAATCAGAATAGATCCCCACAAGTCTAGCATCTGCCTATGCCGGGAGATTTAGTAACGTTCTGCTCTCTGAGACTTCGATACCCACTATCTGGGTGTTGTTTTGCAGCCTTGAGGACTGCAAAGAAAAAATCTTGGAGAGAAAACTGCAGGTCTGATTATTTTCATCAGCCCAGGCTTTCACAAAAAGAGCCTAAATTCTAAAGAAAGAAGTATGAGACACGTGCAGAAGATGTGTGGAGAAAGGAGAATTATCTGCTTTAGACCACCATTAGAGCAAGTCTTTGGCTCTTCCTGCCCCAAATCTATATTGACATCCAAACTCTTGATCCTCCTCATAAGTATTTGCCATGCAGTGTGAAGGTGCATGCAGGTACTTGCATGTTCCCAGATGCAACAATGCAGTCTTTTTTTTTCAGGTAGAAAGCAACTGAGCTGCATAGATGTGTCCTGATTCTAACCCACTTACACTTTCCACTGGGAGTGGAGATACTGGTCTCTTTTGCTTTCAGATTGTTTTCAGCACAACATTGTACTGTAAATCAAAATCTTATCCATTGCACCTCCTTGAAGGTAGTCAGCAGAGAAATTCTGGCAGATTGGGACATTGCTTGGAAAACGTTGAGGGTCTGTGGGGATTTTTTCTCTTTCTTTTCAGTCTGGCTGTTGCAGGGAACCAGCCGGGCTTCAGGTATATTTGGGATACCTCAAGGCTCAGGATGCTTCTCTTGTGCTCTGTTCTTTCAGACCACCCCTGTGACTATGCAGGTCGGAGAAGGGCAGCAGGTTCAGATTGTCCAGGCTCAGCCGCAGGGGCAGGCTCAGCCAGCACAGAGTGGGACTGGGCAGACCATGCAGGTCATGCAGCAGATCATCACCAATACTGGAGAAATTCAGCAAATACCGGTAAGGAGGCATCCGACTAATCTTATTCTTTGTACTCAGGCTGTCCTCTTGCGACCCTTGTTCTCAAGAGGGTCTTCTCTTTGAAGGCTGTTGTTGTTGACGATGATATCCTGCTTTTAAGACAACTCAGAAGGCAGAAATGGCACTGTGTTAGGGACTTGTGTTTGCTTCTCTCTGCTTTGAGTGGGCTTCAGTCTTCAACTTTGGGTTTCCAGAAGCTGTTGGACTGCAGCTCCTCAGCCAACTTAGCCAATGCTCAGAGATTATGGGAGTTGTAGTCCAACAAAATCTGGGGCCCCAAGGTTAAAGAACATTGTGCTACAATAAAGAACCCAGTAGCTCCCTTCTCTGTTTCTCCCACTTCTGCCTTCTGCTGTGCTGCTGCACTTTCAAATACCCACCAACCCACACACACTCGCAAACCATCTGTGCCCCTCCTTCCTGCCATCATTTCAGAAGTTCAGAAAAAGCATATGTGGTGCAGTGCTCTCAAGTCTGAACACTTCTGTAATCCAGCTAAGTGTTTGCATGTTGCAAATAATCGCTGAAATAATTATAACTCTTTTGTCATAAACCACAATTTTCTGTAAAAGCTCACTAATCAGGAAGAAGATTAGGATAGAGCCTGACACCCTGACATGATAGCTTTCCATTTGCACAGCATTCTTTGATGTGTGGGAGCATTCGGCGGGGGGGGGGGGGGTGTCATTTTTGCCACCAGCACATTTGGAGTGCTTTCTGGACACTTGACTCTCACTTGCTCTCAAATCCATACTGTTTCTCTTCTGTGTGAGCTTCAAGGTCCTTCCATTCATTGCACAGCAGGCTACCTTATGCCTAAACGTCCTCCTTTTTCTTATTCATGCTCCTCTTCTAAACTTCTTCTGCCTCCATTTCTTCCTCTCTTGCTGCCTTACGCCAGTGGCTCTAAAACTGCATAATACTGGGAAGAAGGGTCCAAAGTTTCAGGGAGCAAGAGAGGATCCTCCAGCAGGCAGATTCAGAGACTTTTTGCCACCAGGGCAGCTGTGCTTACCATGAAAGATACAGAGATGGGTGAGGTACAGGTGGGAGCTCCTGGCTCCAGTGAGCTCATTCCCTTCCTGCTTCTTTCACTTGGTGGAATGGGATAAAGAGGAAGACTTGGATGAGCCATGGTCGTGCTCTTCTGATGCCACTGTTGCCGTCATATCTCAGTCAACAGATCCTTATATACAGCAGCTAATTGCATGCATTCATGTAGATAAGTAAGAGGATACTGCGTGCTTGGCTGCCAGAGGGTTGTGAGGCTCTGAAAGTAATTTTTTTTTGGGGGGGGGGACCTGAATTCATTAAATTTTTGAGCATGCCTTATGCCTCTGACAGCCTTCCCTTCTTTCCACCAAGCCAACTCCTTGTCTCTCACCCATATCCACACATCCATTTTGCACACATCTTGTTCATCGTCGCTTAGGCTGCAAGCCCTATGGGTAGGACTGGCTGTCATTTGTATGTTCTGCACAGCACACTTTGACAATATATATTTAGTGCTCTTAAGTCAAAGATCACATCATCTTGCAACTTTTGTTGCCAAAGCTGCATTCAGCTCTGAAATCTTCATTTGCCTGCTTTGTACAACCAGGATGGGTTGCAGTCCTTAAAACCACATGAAAAGATACATGAATGCTTTAAAATAATAAACTGTTCAAGTGTTATGTAGAGTCTTTGTGTGAGTGCTGCACAAGTGTTTCAAACTATACCCAGCCCACCTTAGGAAAAGCTTTTGCAGGTGCACCTCAAAACAGCTTGAGGCAATGGGATTTAACTTTAACTCTGTGACAAAAGCTTTCTGGTTGTGAGCAGTAGGATAATAGTTAAACCCCTGAAAGTCTGCCTTGTCCATTTCAGAGTTAGCTCTTATAGTTAAAATCTAACTAGGGGCCTTTCGTGGCAAACAGGGTTTTCCCCTGAAGGCAAATTTCATTGCTGAAAGACAGCTGCATAGAGGTGTCTGTGCTCACATAGAGTATATCTGCTACAGGGGGCTACACTTTGCCTGTAACAGGGTGATGACCTTTAGAGAAAAATATTGCATCATGGAGAAATCGGCAAGGGGGCAAACTGCAAGCTTCATAGCTTCTGCTCCAAATGGTTTGGGCATCAGTGACAGGTATTAAAACATTTTCTCTGTCTGAAGATCTTCTCCCACCTGCTCCTAAAAAAAGGGGGGGGGGTTCCATGCATATAGTACACAAGTGTCTAATGTTAAAGGACAGAAAGTTGACTATTTGGAATTCTGTCCCCAGAGAAACACAACTGGCCCTATGACAGTCAGTTTGTAGGTGCAAGGCTAATGCTTCCGTTTGCCCAGACCTTTGGTAGTCAAGTAGCCTATATTGAGGTGCTCATCTTTTAGGGAAGTGGGATAAGGCTGTCAAGGGGGATAATGTAAAAGGGGGACATGTGGTCACGTTTCAGCCCTGGCTTTATTTAGCCCTCCCTGTGTAATATCTCTGTCTCCTTTTAAAACAAGTGTGTAAAGCCTGCATGTTTCAGGTTACCAACTATGTGCCATCTCCTACTGTTTCTAGGTACATCTCAATGCCGGTCAACTGCAGTATATCCGCTTAACTCAGCCCGTTTCTGGTGCCCAGGTGGTCCAGGGCCAAATCCAGACACTTGCAGCCAACACACAACAGGTATAAACTGAGGTCCAGTGGCTTGTTAATAGCTGTTAAAATGTACCTAGTCTGTTGAAAAGAAGTGGATTTTCTTGAACTTGGTCACTGAGGCAAGGGAGTGGCAGTAGTTTCCTTGGTCCTTTTTCTGTTGCCTGCCTTTTTCCATTTTAAAAAGTACGGAAACCTGTTTTGGACCTACTCCATTCTACCCCACCCCTTCATTTTTCAAGCAAGGTCCTGAGGCTTGATCACCAGAATTTCCATCAAAAGACAACTCCCAGAAAACAAATTACAGTTAACGTGCACTTTCAGGAAATACCTGTCATGCACCAGAGAAAACTACAAGATACAAAAGATACAACCTGTCCTGGAACACATGCTGGAATACAAAAACCTGGCTGTTGTTTGGCACAGGCCTCCTCCAGTGTTTGGCAAATTCAGCTAAATGCTATTCCTTCCCTTTTCTTCCCACTCCCACCTTTCTTGTATAGGTCAGCTTTTCTGTTCTGGCCACCTGCCAGATTTAACACAGCCATTATTTCTGTTCAGTCACCATATCCTATTTCCAGTGCTTTGCAAGAACCATTTTTAGTCACTGTTAATACATTCGTTAAAAGCATCATTTACTTTTACTTTTACATCCTATATAACAGTATTCCTGCTCTTTCAAGTCTGGGATGCATCTTTATATACAGCCTAGCAATACACTCAGTTTTTTAAAAAACACATGCCTTTCCCCTCCTACTCCATGCACACAGCTTCCTTCTCTCAGCTGGCTGTGTGAATGGCCTATAGCAGGCATAGGCAAACTTGGCCCTACAGATGTTTTGTGACTACAGTTCCCATCATCCCTGACCACTGGTCCTGTTAACTAGGGATCATGGGAATTGTAGCCCCAAAACATCTGCAGGGCCGAGTTTGCCTATGCCTGGCCTATAGCAAAAGCTTGTCTTGAGGCTTTCAATATCACTTCCACCCCCAGGTGTCTCTACCACTTCCTCCTGTGAAATACATCCATCCATCCAGTCTCAATAGGCACCATGGCATTTTTTTGTCAAATAATCCACACGAGCAAAATAATATGAAAATCTAGCATGCATAACAAAGCAGCCTCAATCATCCTTTTGTCCTCACCCTTCCTCCAGGCGTATGTGGTTTTATTCTCTCTAATCTCTCTGATGAAGAAAATTTGTTTTGCAAATTGCTGTGTTTTTGTATGTTAAAGATACTTCCATAGAGCATTTCTTTTCTTTTCCTTTCTATTCTATTCCTTGTTCCGTTAAATGGGGGCAAGGAGGTGGATTTGTGAACCAAAGGGCTCTGATGCCAGCCGAAGAGAAGAGCCGCCTGGTGGGGCAAGCCTGTCTTTAAAATTAAAATGGTCTCTCTGTGTGGGGGTGCAGTTAAGGCAAGTGGGCTCTGACCTCCTTTTTTGTTTTTACACGGTGGGGCTGCAAATGTCAATAAATCAATCATCTATTTCGTAGATTGCACAGACGGAGGTTCAGCAGGGACAGCAGCAATTCAGCCAGTTTACAGACGGACAGGTATGAGCTTCGGAACCCATGGTGACAGCCACTGAGTTGGATTCAAAGAGGATCAGACAGTGGCTACTAGCCATGATACTACTATGTTCTCCCTCCACAGCTGGAGGCAGTATGCCTCTGAATGCTAGTTGCTTGGAATCAGAAGTGGGGAGTATGCTGATGTGCTCAGGTCCTGCTTGTGGGCTTCTTATAAGCATATTGTTGTCCACTGAGAACAGGATGCTAGACTAGATGGGTCATTGGGCTGATCCAGTAGGGCTATTATGCTATACAGTAACACCTTGATGTAGCTTGATCTAGCTCCTATTTGGCCATCTTCCTGCCTCTTATTTTCATTAAGAAAATGAAAAGCTTCTGTTCATGGCTTCTGCAAAGTTAAGTTTATTTGATTATTTCAAACTTACAGTAGGAGACAGGGAAACTAGAGGCAATATTTCTCCGTACCAATTGTTGAGAATCACAAGTGAGAAGAGGGCTGTTGCGGTCGGTTCCCATAATGGCAGGTTTCCCATAATGGGCAACTAGATGGCCACTGTGAGAACAGGATCCTGGACTAGATGGGCCTTTGGGATGAGCAATGGTGTTGTTAGGGATGTGAATGGCGGTGTTAATTCTTCACTTTCAGTGAAGTAGGGACTCCTTCTTGAGTATCATACATGACCATGGTGTGGGGGTACACTGCATCAACAGTGTGTTTAAACTGCTTGACCTGGCACAGTGGGTCTCACTTTTGCCTATGTAACGGTTGTTCCAAGATGCTGCGATTCTGTATTTGAATGTATCCATTGAAGAGGGAACCTCAGTGGGTCTCCTTGCTTGTTCTCTTCCAACAGCTCTACCAGATCCAGCAAGTGACCATGCCTGCCGGCCAGGACATCACCCAGCCCATGTTCATCCAGTCCACCAATCAGACAACAGATGGACAGGCCCCACAAGTTACAGGAGACTGAGTTGGTTCAGCCAGAGGGCTGTGGGATGTTATGGAAGTTACACCATCTTGATTGCTGTACAGCCAACCAGAGGCCCTCTTCAGCTCTTCTCCTCCATCCCTTCCCCAATATATATCTGCATTTGATATAAACCTGCCAAGGGCAGCAATCTACGTTGTATTCTATGAACTGCTTCAATCTGGTGGCAGACAAGGAAACCCCAGAAACTGACAATGTTGCAATATTTTTCTTTTTCTTTTCTTTTTTTAAAAGAAAATGGCAAATTCTACATTGCTCAGCAATTCTGCTTTGTATATAACTGATGAATTTTTATAGGGCTCTGTCAAAAGCAGTGTATCTGTTTCCCTGTTTCTTCATTGGTGCAGCATCCTTGTCCCTCCCACTTCCCTGTCCAGTAAACTTCATCTTCCAGGACTTTCATCCTGCAACAACCCTGTGTTGGCTGCAAAAGCTGGACATATCCCCATCTTCATATTTCAGTCAGGAAGTGTGCGAGCCTGCGTGTGGGTGTATGTGTGTGAAAGGTTTCTCTTTTTTTTAATGTCCCAATCTAAGTATTGTTAACTTCAGCTTCTGAGGGAGGGGGCAGGGAGGGGAGTAAACCAGCCCCAGCAATTCTGTATTAAACCTGTTTTTGAAGGCAGCTTTCCCCAACATGTGACGCCCTCCAGATGTTCTGGACTACAACTGGCTTGGGGCTGATAGGGCATTGCGGGTGGGGAATCACGTTGGGGAAAGCTGCCCCATAGGCTTTAATATTGGCCTTGAACTATTTTTTTGAAATACTTTCGGTTTGGATGCGCAGATATGAGTTATTGGTTAACTGTATGAAGTCTCAGTCAATGCATGTGTAAAATAAAGCTGCATGAAATGCAATAAACTTGTTTTCTATGATAGTTCAAGAGCCGTGTGTCTTCTCTCAAATCAGCAGCCCAACAGCCCCCACGGGATGGTCCAAGACAACTTGGGCCCAGTAGCAGAAGATATAACTGGCATCTTCCCCTGTGGTGGTAAAGTGACAAATCTACTGAATTTCAAGGCTGCCCTAGAATCCACTGCTTGAGGCAAGGTTGCTGCCCTGTCCTACAACACTGGAAGGCTTGGCCTTGCCCTAAAAGGAAGGCTGATATCTGCCATAGTGTTCCTCTTCCCCACAAACTTCATGGTTCCCCTTCCTGGAAACTGTGGGGTAACTGTGCCAGGGGTAACTGTGCCCCTGAAGGACCAGGTGCGCAGCCTGGGAGTCATTTTGGACTCACAGCTGTCCATGGAGGCGCAGGTTAACTCTGTGTACAGGGCAGCTGTCTACCAGCTCCATCTGGTACGCAGGCTGAGACCCTACCTGCCCGCGGACTGTCTCGCCAGAGTGGTTCATGCTCTGGTTATCTCCCGCTTGGACTACTGCAACGCGCTCTACGTGGGGCTACCTTTGAAGGTGACCCGGAAACTGCAATTAATCCAGAATGCGGCAGCTAGACTGGTGACTGGGAGTGGCCGCCGGGACCACATAACACCGGTTCTGAGAGATCTGCATTGGATCCCAGTACATTTCCGAGCACGATTCAGAGTGTTGGTGCTGACCTTTAAAGCCCTAAACGGCCTCGGTCCTGTATACCTGAAGGAGCGTCTCCACCCCCATCGTTCAGCCCGGACACTGAGATCCAGCGCCGAGGGCCTTCTGGCGGTTCCCTCATTGCGAGAAGTGAGGCTACAGGGAACCAGACAGAGGGCCTTCTCGGTAGTGGCACCCGCCCTGTGGAACGCCCTCCCATCAGATGTCAAAGAGATAACAATTACCTGACATTCAGAAGACATCTTAAGGCAGCCCTGTTCAGGGAAGTTTTTAATATGTAACGCTGTACTGTTTTTAACACTTGATTGGGAGCCGCCCAGAGTGGCTGGGGAAACTCAGCCAGATGGGCAGGGTATAAATAATATATTCTTCTTCTTCTTCTTCTTCTTCTTCTTCTTCTTCTTCTTCTTCTTCTTCTTCTTCTCCTCCAAGAATGCTGAGATTGCCTACCTGACTGGTACAATTCAGCACCCAAGTTCAGTATTATTAGAAAAGGAATTCATAATTGGTAAACTTGATAGCATTTCTCGAGAGTGCGAAGTAGGCTGGAGTTGCTTTTGTCACTACAGGCAGACATTGCTTTGTGGCTATTAACACATTGGTATCCAGGCATTCCTCCCTGGAGAAACTGAGCTGTATATAGCAGACTTCATTCTGGAATTGGTTGGGTCATCACTCCCCAACCTACTGCCCTCCAGATGCTCTGGATTATGATTGCCAGCATTGCCAATGTCGGGCATGGGAGTTATAGTTCAAAACACTGAGAGAGCAGTGGGGAAGGCTGCGTTAGGCTGGGTGTTTGTGATTGTGCCATGATCGCACAGCTGGGATTACGGTTTAGCAGAGAGCTGAACTTAGATCTTCCTTGGTTGTAACATTCTGGATGATATGTCTCCCCCCTCTGCATGGCGTCGGTGTGAAAACCTTCGCTTTTCATTTCAAAATTGAAACCACACCTCAAAGCATCTCTGAGATGGTGCTACTCCAAAGTCAGGATGACAGTGGCGGTTTCCCCTCACAGTCTCCAGTTCCGGGTGGGGTGGGGGGAACAAGTCAAGAAAGCAAAGTCTTTCACGATTAACATTGTCTTTGTGGGCATCTGGCTAGTCCAGAGGGAGCCAGTTCCAGAAAGAGAGAAAATGTCTGCTTAGTGGTCAGTTTGTGCACTTGAATAGTCTTGAAAGCTGCCCAAAGAATTAATTTGTTACGGTCTTTAAATTCACACTTTCCAAATCCCTGGATATTTATAGAGTAAAAAGGAAGATTTTCTTCTAAAGCTAGTATGGCTAAGATGCTGATGCTCTGGATCTGAAGATTGGACTACTGTAATGTGTTCTTCGGGGGGCTGCCCTTACAGCTGGTCTGGAGTGTAAAATGCAGCAGCTAAGCTACCCTACAGCAAGTGTTCTCAAACTGTGCTCTGCAGACCACCAGTGGCCTGAGGGATTCTTTCAGGTGGTCCATGGCATGTCTAACCAATGCCACTTACAATTCTATGAATTCCAAACTGTAATACAATAAAATTCAAGACATAGAAGAAGCAATGAAAATACCATCAGAAATCCTACAGTTATCTGAAGGAGCTCCTTTCTGACCTGCGTGCTGATTACGATTGGGTGTCCCAGTCTTTGGGAGCTCAGTTGGCTCTTATGCCTAAAAAAGGTTATGTGCTAGCCTCTGTAAAGATTTAAAATAACCCACTCACCCCGCTTCAGTGGAGTCCCTGTCTTTGTGCTTCAGTGAGAACGATGGTTGCTTCCTAATTGGAAGGAAGAGTGACCTGGGCAGGAACGCAACATTAAGCTTTCCATCCCTGCCAAGCAAGCTGAATTGATGGAAGCAGGACCAGAGCAACAAATCAAGCAGAGACACAGCAGGCAGCCTCCCCAGTGGGTGCATATGCTGGATTTACAGGAGTCAGTCATTATTTAATTGCTTGCTTTCTCAGCATACTGTAGCAGTTTTACCCCTGGCACAGTCACACACCACACAGTCTGGGAGATGTCGCTGCAGGTGCTGTAAATTTTGCTTTCGCTGCTTCTCCCAAAAGAGGAAAATGCACCCTCAGACCTAACAACATGCAATTGGGCAGGATACATTTCCTTTAATCCAGGCATGTCCAAAGTCCAACTTCAATCCTAAAAAAAGCTTAACAACTTCAATCCTAAAAAAAGCTCAACAACTTCAATCATTCCATGACCATATATGTCTTCCATCCAGTGAATAAAGTTTGAAGCCAAAGGTGGGGAACTGTACAACAAGGGCCAAATTCCCCTCTGGGCAATCTTTTTTTGGAGGGGCGGGTATACCAGTGGCAGGCAGGGCCTGTGGCAAAACCAGGCAGAGTAATGAATGAAAATGTTGCCTTTGTACCTCTTGGCTAGTTTCTACACACTTTCACACACTGTCCAAGTGAGCAAGAATGGAATACAAAGTTCCATTACACCCGGAAGAGTGAAGCACAGCTGGTGACTGGTGAAATTCCCCAAAGGCCAGACAGACCTGGGGGGCTTCCTTCAGCCCCTGAGCCTGAGATTACCCATCCATGTCTTATGCCATCTAATAAAATAAGGTCTTCTAAATTAAACCTCCCTAAGTTTGCATCGGACTAAAATGAGGTGTTTTGAAGGTGCTTCAAAACACATTCACATCACAGCATCAACTTAGGAGAGTGATGGGAGAATGCCTGACTCTAAGACAATGTCTGAAGCGCTATCTGCAACTTTCAGAAGTCCTTTGAGCCTAAAGCTTTAACAATAACATATGTAACCTGATTGGTTAGGGAGCACCTTCTGTTTAACTAGTCTCTTTACAATTTAAGTTTGCAACCTTAATGTGTAGTTAAAGACTTCTGTCAGTCTCAAGTTCTACTGGAGCACCGGAGTCTTATCCCCAACCCCATTCTGGTTTCTGAGATCTCCCAGGGGCATTGCTATACTGGCAAGACCTGCTTGAGAACTGAAAAGATGAAAGTGGAGGCCTCTGTCTTTTGCACCTTTTGTGTTTTGCAATTGTAGCAGCTGGTCGACCCCAGAATGTACAAATTGTATCCCTCTTCTGGTCACTAGAGGGCGCAGGACTCATTTTAATTTTTTTATTCTTCTGGAGACAGTAGCATCGAATTGCCCACTTTAAAGATGGCTGGTTAAACGTTACATAGTTACGTGACTGAGCTCTGTCAGATAAACATGCAGGGGACAGCTGTATCTTCATTCAATCTGAATGGGTGGAAGATTTTACCCTTCTGTCTGTCTTGAATCCTCATTCAGCTTCATTGGATGTTCCCAAATTGTGGAGTTATGAGGGAGAAAAACTGTTCTCTATCCACTTTCTCCATGCCATGCATCGTTTAATAAACTTCCAGCATGTTTTGCTCTCCTTTTCTCTAAACTAAAAAGGCCCAAACCCTGCAACCTTTCCTCAAACAGGAGTTGCTCCACCCCCTTGATCATTTTGGTTCGCCTTTTCCAACTCTAGTATATCCTTTTCGAGGTAAAGGCAACCAGAACTGTACACAAGATTCACACTGCATATTTGTATTATTATGAGATTGGTACTTTTATTTTCAGTTCCTTTCCAAACTATCCACAGCATAGAATTTGCCTCCCCCCCCCACAACTGTCAAAAATTGGGTTGATCAAGCTATCAGCTAAAAACCCCAAGGTCTCCTTCCTGGTCAGTCACCGCCAGTTCAGACCCCACATGTATACATGTGAAATAAAGATTATTTTGCCCTCACATTTATTACTCTATATACTTGTTTATGTAGAATTGTGTTTGCCATTTTATGGCCCATTCCCTCAGGTTGGAAAGGTCCAGTCTGGAGATCTTCAGAATCCTTGGGTTTTTTTCAAAAATAATCCTTAACAACTTAGTGTCATCTGCAAACTTGGCCACCTCACTGCCCCTCCCTAACTTGCTTATGAATAAGTCTAAAAGCTTAAGTCCCAGTAACTATCCTTGTGGGATTCTACTTTCTACCTCCCTCCATCGTGAAAACTATTCACTGTTCCTAACCAATGCTTCCTGTTACTTAACCAGTTACTGATCCACAAGAGGCCCTCTCTTCTTACTCCATGACTGCTAAGATTACTCAAGAGACTTTGGAGTATTTTGTCAAATAAGGTGGATGTCTAGAAACAAAGCAAAAGACAGAGGATGGGGAAGATGAGTGTGCAGTCTTGCTGCTTACAATTCTGGTCCTGGCTAATATAAAATAACCCTTTTCCCCTGGTCAGCTGACAGCCAAAAGCAATAAAGAAATTCCATTTTGTTCATGTTTATGTTTTTCCTTTGCCCGTGAGAGAGGGTGGAAAAGGTAAATTTGGG